GGTTTGCTATACGAGGTGAAATAATTCCTCTCTGAAAACTTTGATATGAAGGATATAGGTGATGCATCTTATGTCATTGGCATTAAGATACATAGAGACAGATTTCGAGGAATTTTGGGTTTGTCTCAAGAAACCTATATCAACAAAGTTTTAGAGAGATTTCGGATGAAAGATTGTTCACCAAGTGTAGCTCCCATTGTGAAGGGTGAAAGATTCAATTTGAATCAATGGCCTAAAAATGAACTTGAAAGGGAACAAATGAAGAACATTCTTTATGCTTCAGTTGTTGGGAGCTTAATGTATGCTCAGGTCTGCACAAGACCTGACATTGCATTTGTTGTGGAGATGTTAGGCAGATATCAGAGTAATCCAGGTATGCACCACTAGAAAGCTGCAAAGAAAGTGTTGAGGTACCTTCAAGGGACCAAGGATTACATGCTTATGTACAGACGGACTGATAGTTTGGAAGTGATTGGCTACTCTGATTCGGACTTCGCTGGCTGTGTTGATTCGTGAAAATCAACATCAGGATACATATTTTTGTTTGCTGGTGGGGCTATATCTTGGAGAAGCGCAAAGCATACCTTGACTGTAATTTCCATTATGGAGGCTGAGTTTGTTTCTTATTTTGAGGCTACTTCGCATGGTGTATGGATGAAGAGTTTCATTTCTGGGCTTGGAATTGTGGATTCGATTTCTAGGCCATTGTGGATATATTGTGACAATTCAGCTGCAGTTTTCCTGGCTAAGAATAACAAAAGTGGTAGTCGAAGTAAGCACATCGACATCAAGTATCTAGCCATAAGGGAATGTGTTAAAGAAAAAACAGTGGTTATTGAACACATTAGCACTGAATTGATGATTGCTGATCCTTTAACAAAAGGTATGCCACCATTGAAATTTAAGGATCATGTAGATAGAATTGGTCTTGGTTCCTTTATGTGATTTTCATTGTAAGAACGAATGTTATTTTTAATGAAACTCTATTTGTGATGTTTTCTCATATTTGATTTTTCTAGTGTACACATTTATTTTGAGAAATATCATTATTGTTTGGACCTGGAATAAACATAGGGTTTATTCATTAAGTTGCATGGGCTAGTGTTTAAGAGACATGATGTATAGTGATACATGGAAGATAATACTCGTTTTTCAAAGGACCTATCGCCATGATTCATGTATTTTGTTTCTTATTGAGATAAATGATGGAATATATGGACCAAGTAGGAGAATGTAAGATTTTTTCCCGTAATATTAGGAACTTATCATTATATTGGCCCATATCTTCTACTATTATAGGGACGTGAATAACGTTCGAAAACCGTCAATAACCGCTGCCCACGTTTTGTGCACGATTAAGATTCCTCTGTGATGGACAGAGTATATATATATATATATATATATATACGAGTGCATTTCCTTCCGGTTGGTCCCTAAGCCTTTCAATCTTATTCAGTAAAATACATCATCTATTTGACATTGAGTGAAGATTAGAAGCACCAAATCCGAGTTAAATATCTGTCGAGCGTAAGAAGTTGTCAATGGCCGGAGGTATGCTTTCAATTCGATATTTCGATTCTATTCCGCAATATTGATCTAAATGCTATTGAGTTTGCTAGAAGTATGTTGAGATCGTTTAAGATTTAGTTTACAGGCGTTTGAAACCAAAAAACAAAACAATGAAACAAAAAAAAAATTGTTGAAGTAGCTTGATATCTTTTAAAAACAATTGCAGTTTTGACCAATTTTGAAGGATGTTTAATAGATTCCAAAAATGGACATTAGAAAACCGGGATTATAATTTAAAAAAGTTTTAGGTATCTCAACGGGGGCTGGGTATCAAATAGAAAATTTATAGAACTATAAAGTATAACAAGAATGATCCTTTTTTACTTCAAATATATGGGCACTTAGTGTAACTACCAGTATAAATATAATTAAGAAAATATTTAAATATTTTTATAATAATTTCATTAACCATAATTATCCTATCAACGTATTTAAGGTTCTTAAATAGAATTCCAAGTATTTCATCAACGACGTTATAAAAAGTTATGTTTATCAACATTACCAGCTAAACTACTTTTATTTATATATAACAACCTCTCATTAGTTCAGTATGCATGTAATGTATTCTTCAAAATATTCATTTCACTGTTATTGACTAAGTGCAATTTTTTGATCTTTTTTCGTTTTGTTACTTGAGGGATTGGAGAAGATACAAATACTAACGAGGAATATTAATAAAGAATTTAAAAGAAGAAAAATTCTAGAGTAGAGTATTATAAATACTTTACTGTTAAAACATATTTAAATGGTCAGATTATATACAAATTATTATATCAAAATAAGGAAAATAATGTACAATATTTAACAAAATATAACGATATATCTAAACTATCACTGATTCTCTTATAACATGATGTGCAGTAATATTTTTTAGTTTTTTTTTTTTTTTTTTTTTTTTTTTTTTTTTTTTTTTTGTGGGTAGAAACACAAACCGTGCCCTATTGGACTAATTTAGATTCCACATCTGCAAATAATTCTATTGAATGACCAACTAGAAAAAAAAAAAAAAAAAAAAAAAACGGACTCACCTCAAGAGACCTGAAAATTAAAAACTTATGTATATATATTCATGCGCATATATGCTCAAATTCTTTTTTAACTCCAATAATATCAATTACGATCTTATATCACGTCAATTAAAAAAATTATAAGAGTTAAATTAATATTTTAATTGACGTGACATAATTTTCTTGGGGAGATACAAAAGAGAACACGAATAAGAGAACATATAACCTCAATTCACATATGTATATACCATAGAAATTGACCAAAAATATTTATGACAATTAATGAAATTAAATTCTGGATAACTATTAAAACTCACACACACATATATAACGTTGGACCCACCCTCACATTAGCTTTCAATTCTATTTATTCAAGTCAACACTCTAAGTCCAACATATTAATATCCATGCTGATACATCAACCACGGATGCAGTCCAAGTCCAACTATATATGATTATATGAATATCTACAGCTCAAACGTCATCTCTCAAAATAAATTAGCTGTTGAAACTTGAAAACAAAGCTTATCTTAATGCATGTCTGGCGACATTCATGTGCATATGAATCCAAGGATATATTCGTGACTTCAGACTACAATTAACCAAATCCCACGATCTGAGGATTTTTTTTTTCTTTTTCCCCTAGCTGTACAACTCTTTTCTATTCTCTCTTTTCTTGTACACTTGTGTATAAATAGGCTCGATCCGTCTGTTTCAATAATGAATATATATAGTGTTATCAAACTTGACACGTTTTGACCTTTATAAAATTTCAAAGTTATATTATATTTTACAACTCATGAAGAGGTATGATAAAATCTTGTATACCTACATATCTGTTTAAAGACTTTTTCATTTGCTGACAAATTTTGAGAAGCTTCCTCACTATTACATTAAGCTTATCTGATAAGTAAATTGTATTGAAGAATGACAATAAATAGGCTTGGTAATGAGGCAAGATCATGTACGAGAAGAAATTGAGGAGTAGTAATAGAAGGAAAAAAAAAAAAAAAACGAGAGGGGAAAACTATTGAATGAAAGAATAAATAAATGTTGTTCTAATTTTCTTGTTTTTCTATCAGTTCCTTTAGTTTTATTATTATTTTCTTGCAGTAGTATTTATAACGTATAGCCAGTTTTTATTCGTAAACTCACTTCCTTTTATTGTATTCTTTAGGGAACCTTCCTTTCTAGATTATACTTTCAATAATATTAGATAGACAATGTATAAGAACATATGCCTGAGAGCATACTCTCACGTACGCTTACTGTTAACGCATTAATATTTGGGAGAAAGAGAAAAATAGGCCAAGATTTGAGATGAATTAAAATTAATAGACCAATAATTTACATAAGTTAATAAATAGGCCAAATTACTGTTTTTGTCCATAACTTGTCTGACTATGAACCATAACTTGACAAGTTTGTCCATAACTTATCTGGTTATGAACCATGACTTGACAAGTTATGGCCTATTGATTTCTATAACTAAAAGTTGACCTATATACTTTCTTAAGCTTTTCATATTGGCCTATTTTTTACTATTTCCGTTAATATTTTACGGGATTGGATGACGCTCCTTGTTAGAGGGGTACGGTGCGCCTGTAGGAACTTAAGCGAATATTTTAATTAATGTTTAAGGGTATGCTAATGTCGATCGCTCCCTCACGATACTTTTCTCATCCAAAAAAGTTGTACAACTAACGTTCCGGCCAAAAAAAAAAAAAAATGTAAAACTTAAACGTCATGTACAATTATTTAACTTCATATGATCAGCCTACTTCAATCGGTGTGGGATTTTGAACACGACTAGTTGCCAATAGCATTGTTCCTATATAGTATATCCCAATATAATATTTTTTTTAATTATTCTATCTGTTAATTATCTTTGTCTATTCTCTATCATAGACGTCTGCTGAATGGTCCCCCGCTCAATCAGACTGATCTAATAATGGAGATTTAGTGCTGCCATATCGTCCTACATGTATTGATACATACTGTATACGTACGTATGAGTCATTAACTTGTCTGTGGCGAAGTAGTTGAGTTTTTTTATGTCTTTTTTGCTGGAAAAGTGCTCGAGTTTTCAGTTGCATTTATGTAACCATTACGAATCATGATATATATATATATATATATGTGTGTGTGTGTGTGTGTGTATATATATAAAGAAAAAAAAAAGAGGAAATAACGAGAAAGTTAGACAACAGACCGCGGTTTGTGCATACAAGTTTGTTCAAGATGGGACCCGAGAAATCTTTTCTGTACTTTGCAGAGTGTGTAAATGATGTTCGTTGTCGTCTTTATCATGTTTTTAATGCTATATATATATATATATATATATTATTGTTATGTTTGGTGGTTTGGTGCACATTTAAGAAACTTGTATCATGAACAATATTTTAGAAGTGCCCATTCTGGAAGAAACATTTATTTTCCTGATAAATTAGAAGAAACAAAGTTAAATTTAGAAGATCATGAGCAATATTTTGGAAGTGCCCATTCTGGAAGAAACATTTATTTTCCTGATAAATTAGAAGAAACTAAAGTTAAATTTAGAAGATGTCGTCCTATAATCTATAATTCTATATATGGGAGTGAGACTGACTATATGATTTTATCTCCTCTGGTAGTTGAGGAATTTGATGCCATATGCAAATACAAAGAAGAAGAGGAGGACCCAGCCAACATGGGCCACAGCAACAGTTGGAAGGAAGTTATAGTCAAAGCCCAAGTTGTCCTTAAGGAACACCTTCAATGGAATACTAGTCCCAAGCCCAGGTATCTCCAGATCAGCATCTTTGTCACCCACTTGAGACGTGACAAGCCCATATAGTGTCCAGGCCACAGGAGAAGCCCAATAGTACCATCTCCACCAGATGGGGATTTGCTGCAACCATTTAGAAACATTTAAGTAATGCAATTTATTATAAAATAACATATAAGCGCATAATACAGTGCTAAATTAGTCTGTTAACATCAAAATTTAGTATTTTAGTAGGAAAACTACTCTTAACAATATTACTATTTAATTTAAAATAACATTATGCATTTACATTGAAGATGGTCTAAGTAAGTGTATATTATGATAGACTTACCATCCTGGGAAGGAGAAAACCAGAGAACAAGTTCCAGAAGCTGAGAAAGAAGGCCATAACAATGGCGGCGATTTGGTGGCCAGGGGTCAAAGCAACCACCATCATTCCGTACATTGTGAAGTAGACAAAGCACATCGTCATGTAGTAGTAAAACCACAAGAACTTTCCTGCTTTCCACTCAAACCCAATCATAGAGTAGAGAAGAAGCGTGTAAATGAAAGTTTGTATTGCTGTGTACATTGTCTCTACGGCCACCTGCAAAATTTTGGGACATAATTCTTTAGGTTAACTATTATATATTTCCCCTAAAGCATACTTTCATTTTGAAATGTCACTTATTTTGAATATATACCAAATGATATGTCGTATGATTTTGTTATTCTTTTATTGGTTGGAGAGAACTTTTTAAAACTAATGCTTTGTTTGGTTGAGAGATTCGTCTCTGATTATGAATCATAATTCTTGATTCTCTATCTCTACAGTGTTTTTATCTCATAAAAAATTTAAATTTTAAAAATTAGAATTATGAATCATAATTTTGAATCACTCAACTAAACGTCCACTAATATTTTACGTACAACTATTTTAAATATCTATAAATAGATTGATAATAATCTATTTACCGTGATTTGTCGTTGTACCTGAGCAAATGCGTAAGGAAGTGCTGAATACATTCCCGCGGCTCTTTCGCGGTAGAAAACCGTTCTCTCAATGGCAACGATGGACTGCACAGCGGAAGCATTGCAGGCTCCAAGGAAAAGCACAGCAGCATACATGGCTCCCAAAAGATTCGTTAGATCTTGTTGTTTGGTTCTGTTAATATTATTAAACAATAAATAGATTATTATATTCAAAACCAAAATCAAACAGAATTATTTGTTTATGGACGCCATAACTTACGTTTGTTGTCCCTTGTTCCAGAAAATAAGACCAAACAAAACACCGATGACTATTGTCATGAAGAACCGGATGGCATTGTATTGAGGGTTTCTCCAATAAGACCAGTATTGCTTCCAAACACAGGCATTGCACTGAACATAAAATGGTTGGGAGTATTTGGTAGGGAAGAAGAGGTCCTTTGACCCCGGTGCCGGCGTGCTAAGCTCTTCGATAAGCTCCTGATTTCTCCTAAAAGAATATCAATATGAATCTTAAAATTAGAGAACCTAGGTAATGGAAGAAAGTTGATGTTTAGGGCAAAAAATATATATATCAATATGAATCTTAAAATTAGAGAACCTAGGTAATGGACGAAAGTTGATGTTTAGGGCACAAAAAAAAAAAAAAAAGTGTCAAATTACTTACAGGTAAAGTGAGGAGTTGGCATAAAGTTCTGCAAAGTCAACATCAAGTTGAGCCCCAACTTGAGGGGTGGTGACCTCAAGCATCCACGTGGCAGGATTATAACCATCCCTAATCTTCGGTACCCCAGGGATTGCCTATAGTGGATCAGAGATATTACTCTATTGCTCGGAGAAAGATATACGGCGCGTTTAAAATTCGTTTCAAAATAATTTTATTTTTTATATAAAAATAAAAATAAAAATATTTTTAATCTTACACAGAAATTATTTTTAAAAAATGTGTTTGGTAGTATTATTAAGATATTTTTTTCAGTGTAAAAAAACTCATTAATGTCTATCTTTCTCTCTTTGCTGAAAGAGGAGAAAATGAAAATAAAAAATGAAAAACGACTAAAATTCATTTTTCATTTCTCTCATTTTACACTAAACCAAAAAATCGTTTTCATTTCTGCTTTTTATCTTTATTTTGCCAAACGCCGTTTTGGAAACGTTCTCATTTTCTTTTTCTCGAAAAACGCGGAATCAATTCCAAACATGACCATAGATTGATGTTTCACGGGTTTGAATCACAGTTCCCAATTTGAACTGAAAAACTAATCTAGATTGGTGTTCGGGGGAGAAAATAATGAATGCGGTTCAGAATTTTTAAAAAGAGAAATATTCTCAGTTTAAATTGAGATTTGTGGTTCAACTATGCAAAACAAACGGATGCTAAAGAACACGAGATTAATGAACTTATGAATAAGTACTTCTTTCTAACTCATCAATCTGTAAAAAAGAACATGGAAAAATAAATACTCACTTCAAAGTATTCAATGAGCTTGTGAGAACGGCGACCAAGAGGTCCAGCATAAATCACTTGTCCTCCTCGTTTCATCAGTAGTAACTGCGGAAATGCAATATCAAGTTGGAATAGGCTAAGGAAATAGTATTCATGAAAGAAATATGTTAACAAAGATTAAGAAGAAGCTATTAATACCTCATCAAAAGCTTCAAAAATATCAATACTTGGCTGGTGAATTGTGCACACCACTGTTCTTCCTGTATCGACGGTGTTTCTCACGGTACGCATGACAATGGCGGCCGCTCTGGCGTCAAGACCGGATGTTGGTTCATCCATGAAGATGATTGACGGATTAGCAACCAACTCCACAGCTATTGTTAGTCTTTTTCTTTGTTCTGTTGAAAGACCATCTACACCCGGAAGTCCCACTAGAGCATTTCTTATTGGATTTAACTCCACGAGTTCCGTAACTTCTTCAACAAACATCTGTTCCACGGTTAAACATTAAAATGAAAAGGGCTATTAGAAAGTATACTATCAGTTTTGTATTTCATCAAATATATGCATTCGGATTACATTTAATATACAAATCCAAACCTTTTATGGGATCAACACTCGATTTGACTTAAAATATTCAAAATACCCTTAAATAGAAACATTAAAAGAACTATGGAAAGAGAGAAAAAAAACACATTTAAGAAGACTTTATTTTAATTTTTATCTTTCTTTAAAGATTTTGTTTTTTTTTTTTAAATATTGTATTCAAGAGTATTTTGGGTCTTTTTAAGTAAAAATCAAGTAATTACCATGAAAATGTATAGATTTATGTACTTAATGTAATCTAAAGATATATATTTTATAGATAAAAAACTAAATATATACTTTTAAATAAACTTAAAATACATGGTACAGAAATATATCATACTTGGGATGTAAATAATATATGATATCCTTCAAAAGAGGGACCCTTTTGTGTTTAACATACCTTCCTTGTTCTTAAATCCACATCTGTAGAAAGACGAAGCCACGCCGAATAGAGAAGGGATTCATAGACAGTGACATGTGGTGAATGAATGTCATTTTGTTCACAATAGCCACTAACCCTAGCAAATGTTGCTTGGTTCTTTGGATAGCCTGAGATAAATATGCTTCCTTCAATGTAACCGCCGGTTTTTCTTCCGGCCAAGACGTCCATAAGGGTCGTCTTCCCTGCGCCACTGACCCCAACTAGCGCCGTCAAGATTCCGGGCCTAAAAGCGCCACTGACATCACTCAACAGTTGAAGACGATCTTCTTCAACTCCTTGACTCTTCATTTCTTGGTATGATAGACCAAATATGTTCCTCAATCTTTGCTTCAAATAAAAATTGATAAAAGTGGTAAATTTTTAGAGGTCTAATTAAGTTTTGGACGTTTTTGTATTGATGTGATTAACTTACAGCAGGCATGTCCACGTAGTAGTTCACATGGTTGAAGGCAAGAGATAGGGGTTGGAAAGGCAAAACCATTCCTCTTTTTGGTGCATCTTTAGAAGAACCAAAATCTTCAGAAGTGCTTCTCACTTCCATATCAAAACCTGTCAATTATTACCCAAATTAAGGGATAAAAGTTTTTTTTTTTTTTTTTTGTTCTTATGTGGCAAGCTAAGCAAAAATGTATTCATTTATTTTTAACGCTTTCATGGATTAGTGATTACAGACACAGTTTAGTAGTAAATCCACACTCATACTTTCATGTTGAGGTTTTGAGTTCGAATTCCCCACCGACACTGAAAGAAAATAACATGTTAGTTTTAGTTAAGATTGTTTTTGGTATAAGAAGAGAAAATGTGGTTTTGGTGTTGTAAACTTGCATAATAGTTACTAACTTAAACAATAATAAATATATTAGAAAAATAATTGAGAAAAGGAAAAATGGTCAAACCTTTTTGGCTAGAGGAGTCTGAATTCTTGTTCTTTTTGTCCTTTTCTTCATGATCTACACTAATGACAGCGTTCGTATCTCCAAAAGCTGATTGATTTCCACATTAAAAATAAAAATAAAAAGTGGGATTCATCAGCTTTAGAACATTAATACCATTACTGAAATTCTTATGTCAAAAAGATATAAGAAGCAAGAGATGACTCACGGTTCAAATAGGTCAAAGATGCAATGAATAAAATGTTGAAAAGAAGAGAAAATCCAAAGAGTGCCCCAACGCAAATCCAAAACCAATATTCTTCCGTAAAAAAGCCTCTAGACTTGAGGAGGACTTTCCCAACTGTAGGTTCATTTACTCCAGGATCCGTATTTTTCTACAATATAGACAGAGAATATATATATATATATATATATACACACACACACCAAGGATGGAATATAATTAAGTGAGACTTAGCTCAAAGGCTCATATCGTCTGTCTATTTTTTCCGTTTCGGTTGTTAAAAACCAAATGATTTGACGATGGAACAAGAAAATAAAGACAACAGATCTAGACTCAGTTTTCGAACCACTAAGAAAGCTTACCGCGCCCCATCTATCATCAAGGAATTCATTGATGACAATTGCATTCTGTCCGTACATCATGGGAGAAACGTAATAGCCCCACAACATCCAGGGCTCAAGGTCATCTACGGACGAAAAAGAAATGGAGAAGGAGAAGATGCTTAGGCGAAATTGATTTTCACATATACATGAAGTATGAGGAAGAAATGAATACATGAATTTGTTAAAACCAAGATCGATTTACTTACTTTTGGCGACGATGAAACCTCCAAGGACAAAAACCAATAACAAGGTAAAAGTACCCAGTGTATTCGCAACAACTTGTGTTCTTCCGACTGCGGCGATGAAACGGAAGAGAGATAGAGCCATCTGATGAATTCCAAAGAATGCTAACAACTGTTTGAAAAATCTGTAGTTCAAAGGAAGAAAAGTAACAAGTTCTGTAAGAGAATGTGGTTTGTTGTACTTTAAGTAACATATGAAAAAACTAAGGATACGTTCCATAATTATTTTGTTTTTTTGTATGAAAATTAAAATGATAACGTTTTCAATCTCAAACATAAATAATTTTTAAAAATGCGTTTGTTAGTTTTATTAAGAGATTAATTTCAGTATAAAAAAACTCATTAATGTCTCTCTCTCTGCTCGAGAGAGGAGAAAACGAAAATAAAAAATGAAAAACGACTAAAAGTCATTTTTCATTTATCTCTCATTTTACACTAAACAAAAAAATCGTTTTCATTTTTTTTTTTTGACTTTAATTGTGTCAAACACTGTTTTGGAATCGTTTTCATTTTTCTTTCTCAAAAAATGTGAAAAATGAAAACAAGAACAATTCTACACAGTAAAAATGTGAACCTTTTTTTTAATATATACCTGCTAGCAGCTGGAGCAAATCCAATTGAGTAGTATGTTAGAAGAATCCATATTGCGGATTCGAGAAAAGACAATGGAATCCTGAGGACCCAAATTGGTAAGCAAAATGCCCAAGCAGGGTAAAACAAGAAATCTCTTTGTTTGAAGAAGACAGGAAGTCTGAAAACGGTCATTGCGAGCTCGGCCATCCCATTGAACATGACATTAATTAGACTGAAAAACAGTGCTCCAAAGAACTTTCCTCCGTCTTGTACCGTTCCCACCGGCATTTCGGTCCTAAGAAAGACAGTCAGGGCAATCACCGACATAATTGTTATTTGTGTTGTCTTGAATACATAGACAAAAGAATTGCGCTTCATCAGTAGCCACTCTCTTGAAAAGCATGCTTTGAATAGTTCCCAATTTGAAATCCCGTATTTCTCGGTCACCAATGCAGCCGGGTGGGCTGTGGATTTGTCGTAAGGAATTCGAAGATCGTCTGCGAGTTGTTGACCTACATGGAAAGATTTGAAGGCCTCAGCGAAATCCGCAACTGATATGAATGTGTACGGTTGGTCCTTCTTAAACCAATACTGTTCTTGGTCCTTATTCGACATTACTTCTTGAAGAAAGTCGGCGACTCCTTTCCTCTCGGGGCATTTGAAGCCCATGTGCTCGAAGAATTCGAGGACATTTTCTCGGGGACCATGGTACACAGCCTGACCTGCAGAGAGCAAAATAATGTCGTCGAAAAGGTCATAAGTCTCAGGAGCTGGCTGTAGAAGAGAGATGACCATTGTCACATCAGAAATGTGAACCATTTGTCTCATGTACTTGCAAATTTGGAAAGTGGTGGAACTATCTAAACCAGTTGAAATTTCATCCATCAAAAGAACCTTCGCTGGCCCCACCAACATCTCCCCTAGAACATGATTCATATGATGAAACCTATTAGAAATAGACGCAAGGGATAATAACAAGTGGACTGGACCTACCACAGGAGTATGAAGTTTCTACGGATGACCTAAAAACATATTATATAGTTTTTCTGGTAGACCGTCCTACCGGTAGAATCAATTTTCTGACCGTTAGATCTGATCAAAATTAAATTAGATTAAAAAAATATGTAGAACATACATGTACAGTGTACCTGTAGTAACGCGCTTTTTTTGCCCACCAGAAATACCTCTTCTCATGTCGTCACCAACCATGATATCCGCACAAATATCCAACCCAAGTATCTGTTACCATTGTTGAGAAATCAGAATTTTCTCAATAAAAAAAATATCATGTATCTTTATCAATATTCTGCATAATTCTGAACGTCAAATTACATTAAAAAAATGTATTAAAACAACATTGATCAGATTTTGATGATAATATGACATTTCAAAACTGCGATAATTTGTAGCCTACCAAATAATTATGTGTGTGATTGTGTGTGTTTTTTTTTTTTTTTTTTTTTTTTTTTAAATTAGAAGAGATAGATTAATAGAACAACTAATTAACCTTGAGAACATAATCCGTGACCAAACTAGTTTTCTGGCCGGACATTGCGGTAGCCTTCATGAAGGCATCGATCTCGGGATCCGGCTTAATTCCTGCCTCTCTCTCTCTGTTTGAGAGTTCAGCCAACATTTCATACCTTGTGCCGACACCCAAACAACGTCCTGAGAAATCCAGTGTCTCTCTCACCGTCATCTCTCCGTAGTGAAGATCATGCTGACTAATGTAAGCGCAGGTTCTTTGAGGAACAAATTCATCCATTTCATGACCACAATATGTCACTTTCCCAGACACCTGCTCATGTATAGTTTCAACTAATCATCAATAAAAACAAAGATATAGGAGATAGGTTAGAAATTGGCTTGATAGTTCCTATTAATGCCTTAGACCGTTTGGTGTCGAACGGGATTTTGGAAGATTGCAGATTCGATCTTGTCTTTGTATTAAAAAAAAAAAAAAGAGAAAAAAATTAAAATCAAAGACCATTAATACCAAAAAAAAAAAAAAAAGATGGAAACACACCCTGAGATCTTGATCAAGTTTCCCTGCAAGTGCCAGCAATAATGTTGTTTTCCCTGCACCAGGAGGGCCCAAAAGTAGGGTCATCCTAGAAATTAAAGGATTCAATTTATAATTACCATAAAAAAAGAATCTCAGACACTAAAATAAAACACTGCACTCATTATAACTCAACCAAAATGAGATTAACAAAAAAAAATTTATAAGCTCATTTCATCATTTATAGATTAACAAAAATATACCTACAAGGCCTGACGATCCCACTGACATCTTTCAGTATCTGCATCTTCCGCTTCTTGGACGGAGCTAACCGAACTGAACCGAGTACACTCTACCCTCCGAACGATATATTCAAACACCAAAAAATTAAAAATTATCAGCCTTAAGTACCTATTAGATTCCCTTAATCTTGTTTTATTTCAGTTCTATAACAAAAACATATATATATATATATATATTTTTTTTTTTTTCAAAAAATACCTCTATGGTGTTAAGTGTAGCATTAAGCAGAGTAGGAAGAGCTCTGCTTCCAACGTACACATCTCCTTCGACCGATAAATTCTCGTATCGAACTTCAATCTTCGGAATCTCAATTCCCACCCTTTAAAATAAATAAAATCGAAAATTTATACATACAAATTCTAGGATTTTTTTTTTTTTTTTTGGTGTGGTGAATATAATATAAATTAGTATTACCGATCAGTCCTCTCCCTTAGGCGTTGAAGGAACTTCTCGTTGTCTTCTTCCACAAGGCCAAGGATGCTCTCCATGAGCTTCTTCCTCTCCGGCATCTCGAGCTTCGTGACGTCGACCTCGTCGTGGACGACGCGGCCGTTCTCGAGCACATGCCGGAGCATTCCCTTCCTCAGGCGGTCGTAGGTCGGCAACCGCTCGATTGCCGCCCACCGCAATTCCTCCTCGTCGTCTTCCCGCCGCTCGCTTTTGCTGAACACGTTCGGCGGCGCTGTCCACGCCTCCTTAAAGCTCGACGACCTCGAGCTCCTTCTGCTCGTCGATCGAGCTAGATCATCTCCTACTAAAGCCGCCGCCATAATCGAAATTAAATTGAATCTCAACTATGATCTTTATTCCTTGAGTACTCTCCAAGTAGTACTATAAACAGTTCACTTAAAGCTTGTGTAGAAATCACAATCTTCGAATCTCAAATGGAAATTGGATTTAGTTAATCTCTCTCTCTCTCTCTCATTTTGTTATGGCCACTCCGGCGATGTACCGCTCTCTCTCTCCCTCTCTCTTTTATTTTGTTATGGCCACTCCGGCGATGTACCGCCGGAATTTTGGAGTCATTTTGTATAAGAGAGGCTTTTTTATAGGCGTTTAGTTTTTTCTGAGTCAGGGAGAAAGTGGGAGTGAGAAAGCGTAGGAAAAATAAAAAATATTAATATTCATGATACTAATAATAATAATAATAATAAGGTGATAAGAGTGACGATATATATTACATAATTATGAGAATGAGAATATTGGAGAGAGATATTTCACAAGGAAGCAAAATGAACCACGTTTTTAAGGTCAAAGAGTGAAAATGTGTTTCTCTTTTCTTAAGAAAGTTTTTATACGTCCCGAATGCCCAAGATAAGTATCATTGGGGGGTTTTGGGAAAAATATCTATAATTTCTTTTTTGAAGAATTATTTATTAGTTAGGTACAAATGTTATCAATACTTTGCAGTTTTGAACTGTTATCAGACGCTCACTTATATATAACTAACGACAACGTACAATAAGACTATACGAGTTTGCATGTCTTTTTTTTTTTTTTTTTTTTTTTTTTTTGGGGGGTAAGCTTTAAGGATTCCTTGATGAAAGCCATTGTCGTTCTCATAAGCAGGAGATCCGAATTGTCGGCCTTCAAGAAACACCAAGTGGATTAAATCTTCCATTAAATAACGTCTTTGGTGATTTTTCTTAAAGCGCTTTTAGGCTATTTAGTGGAAACTGTTGAATTTAAAGGATAAGATGCCTCAAAATAGAGTACATCAAGAACATTTGAATACGTGACTAGTGTAATAATAATGATAATAATAATGAATAAATGATTGTATCAGTCTAATACATATAGCATTGCCCTTTTTCTTTAGGTAATTAAATAGTAAAATATAATATATCATTATCTTTGAAGACTCAAGAGCCATTCTTACTTGAGAGAATACTTGTGGAAGATTATTTTATAGCTTACTTTGGAAAAGATTCATGACTTTAACGAGTAATATATTCCACACAAACTCTCACTAGAGTTAACAGATCAACTTTATAATATTCACTAGAGGCGCAATAGGACAGGAGTCATTATAGCATAAGCCACATTAATATATATATATATATATAACACTAAAGCATTGATTTAAAATATTATGCGTTCCAGCTTCCGGCCCCAGGAAGTGCAGTAATAATAATATTAATATGGAACTGTAACTAAATAAGCAAAATTTATTAAATATATAGTACACGTGTCATCAAAAGCAAGCATATAATTTATGAAATTTAAAGGCAGTTAAATTAAGCAGAAGCTACGTATGGTTTGGTGTTCACTAGAGTCCAAATATGTCATCCCCACTTTTTTATCTTATTAGTGATCATTCACTAATTATTTATCGTATTATTTAAATTTAATAATTCAACCACACAGATATTAATTATATATTAAAAATAACTAAATAAATTACGAATTATCAAAATTTAATTTAAATAGCAATAAACGAGAGATAGGAAAATGAAGTTGTCAAAATTTAATTTAAATAACAATAAACGAGAGATAAGAAAATGGACAACAAATCTTGATTTCACAAAAATAATGATGCAGGATTAGACGGTGTAGGGCAGGGCCGTCCTACCAAAACGACACAGCAGTACCACGTGTCTCTTTATGTGCTATTCTTTTGCCATGTCAAAGAATTGTACCATGATGGTCACTTTCCTAATACCGCCAGGTTGGAGAAAATCGTTTTTCTTTTTTTTTTTCACAATATATATATGGACTTATTTTAATTATTATTAAATATAAAAATTTAATGAGTAACGTGATAATAATTTAATTTTATTAATTTTTATTAATTTTTTTAATTAATCATTTAATTTATTACAATTATCATATTAATATTTTACGGTTAAAATAATAATACAATATTCAAATAACTATTAAAATCATATATATATATATATATATAATCTATCTATGTGTTGTGTAAATGGTATCTGGTCAATAATATATACGATATACATCTTTTGCTAACATTTTCGTCTAGTTTTGATTCATGATTCCTGACCTTTTCCTTGTTAGCTCTTTGCTAGTAGGTTATTTTGTTCTTGATTTACTGTTTGGCCGGCCTTTTCTACCCAAAAATTTGTGGATCAATTTGAATTCCCTATGTTACAACTATTTGAGACAAAAATCCATTTAATTTAAATAATGATTAAATTTAAATTGAGTCTTTTCCATGTCGTTTGATTAATTTCACAATTTTCCATTTGCATGCTTTCTGATTTGCTCTCTAGAGGCAATTCAGAATTTCATGCATATATATTCTCGGAAACATATGTAATGATTAAATTGGTAGTTAATTCGTTCTTTTTTGTAATACATAACTTACTCCTTCTAAGTTGAAATAATTTGTTGAATAAATTAAAATGGTACATATCACGTTGAGATCTTAATGTTAAGATATTGAGACCTTGTGTGTCACGGACTCACAGGACTACCGTCTTATTCAGCTCCTTCTAGAAATAACTATTCATAATAAAAGAAACTTTCAGAAGTTGTTATTATTACAACCACCCCTCTTATTTGTTATGACTAAAAAAAAAAAACTATCACTAATTTCTTCTTTTTAGTCGTTAAATAATCTATATAAAAAACTATCAATTCTGTATACTTTTCAATCTGATGTGATTTTGATTGGATCTAATGGTCAAAATACTGAACCTATCAGGCCATACCAAAATAAGTCCCTACAAACAAATGATATTGCCTCCTACTTTCAATGCGACAAACAAGCTAAAAGTTTATAAAGTCCATCCGTCTTGGACATATCTTCTTAAAAAATATTTGTAATTTGTTTTTTTAATTTTTATGTCCATTTTAGGGAATATGTTTAGAAAAAATGATTAAAAAAAAATAAACTAGTAATTTGAAAGAGATTTCTTGTAAAATCATGATCTAAAATATCAAAATTAAGGTATTTTAAGGTATAGGTATTTCTATATATCGTGCTACATTGAAATATCAAAACTAATTAAACAATATGTAAATTTTAGCCATACAAAAGCGAGCCCTAGATTTTCATACTTTCAATACATGCGAAAGCAAAAGGGGGGATTAATTATTCTCTACCTTTTAGGGAAAATAATAATAATAATAATAATAATAATAAAGAAATAGTTCTTCTTCTTCACTAACAAGTGGAAGCGGCGATAAGCTTTTGGAATTAAAGGTTAACAAGTCAGCCGGCTTAGATTTTCATCTTTTTGTTCTCTAAAACCAATTGCCGGATTGGTTATCCAAAAAGAAAAGTGCAAATTGCCGGAGCCCAACATTTCAACATATTTTTTTTCTTTTTCTTTCTTTTTCTGAGTAGATAATTTAATTAATTGCAATATTCGTGTACCTTAAACTTATAATATTTCGCAATTTGAAACATATATTTTAAATTTTATCTTAAATTTATGAATTTGTTACAATTGTGGTCCATTAACGAACGGATCTCAATTAAATTGCTCAAAATTTGTAAACAAGTGCACCCCAAATTTTTTATTGAGTAGCAAATTGAATCCTAAATTTTTGAATTTTAGAATTTCAAACCCCTAATGGCCATCCATAAATTGAGTTGTGGATTAAATTGTATTAGCAAAGATTATAAACTTTGAAATTCAAAGTGCAACCTATAAATGATGATAAATATTTTCTCTCCATGAGTACAGTTTACCCCACGTTTTCCTAGTTGCCGATTGGTGGGTTGGAACTTTGGATTGAGTGTTGGATTAGACATAGTTGAGCGAACAAAAGTGAGTGGAGTGATCAAAACAGGTCCGTTGTTCAGGTTTGAAACTAAAGGAAAAGTTAAAATTGACAAAAGAGGTTTCCTTTTTTTGGAGTACCTCTAAATTCCACCAATCAGACAGATTTTCGTTTGAAGTATCCCTATAAAATGATTAAGGCCATGTTCACTTCACCGATTCGAGTTTAGAATTTGAGTTTCGTTACAGTAAAAAATTCTCAGAAACAGTCACATCTAAATTTTTTACTACAGTAAAAAGCTCTCACATAAAATCACATCTCAACTTGAATTACAAACTCGAATCAGCGAAGTGAACGGGCAAAAGTCTCTCTCTCTCTCTCTTCAGAGAAAAGGTGATCAGGATCATAAGTAGGTTTCCTCGTGCCTATCAAATTCATAATCAAAACTAATCATTTCTTTTTTTTTTTTTTTGGTTGAAATGAAACTAATCACTGGTAAGAGTAACTTCCGCCCAGTTTCACTATAGTATAATGTACCAAACTAAATTATCGAAATATATATATATGTACCAAACTAGAATTTTCAAATATAATTAGAATAACAACAGCAATTCTAAATACTATTGACCGACACAATTCCAAACTATTAAATTTTAATCATTTTTTTACTTGATATGATCCGATGGTTTAATGTTGTGAATTGTTGATAACCTTTTCTTTCCCACGTAATTCTCTTAATAACAAACTACGTAGATTTTGTTCTGCCACAACTATATTACAACTTTTTTGTGTTACATTATTGCACGAGCTATTTACCAGGTGTTCAATGAATCAATTTGCACCGTTGAAATTCGAACTACATTTGCCAGATAGGGACAATATTTAAAAGAAAAGAAAAGGGAAAAAAATGTGATATAAACATTTTTTTTTCTCTGAACCAGGAGCATATCCAACCATATGAAATGTGATATAAATATTTAATATGGCTCGATAATGCATCAACATCACCAAACTAGGAGAAAATAGAAACTTCACTAGTAAAACACTATCGATGGATGGACTCTATATATATACAACCAAAGCTATCAAATATCTAAAAATTAAGAGCTTTCATAAATTCAAAAGAAATACAATTAATTTCAATCTATTGCTAAAGATAACGACCAAAAAAAAAAAATCCCTAATGAGTAGGAGCCAAAAAGAAAAAAAAAATCCATAGTTCAGATATTTTTTGGCCATCATCCTCTCCAACATAACAAATTAGATCACAAGAGAAAAACCTACTTCAAAATATATTTTGGACACATATTAATATAGTAACACTAGATTATACATTAAGTCAGATCCAAATCTTGTACGTGCATGCTTATATATAGATATATATGAAAGAAATATTTTCTGAGTGAAAAGAAAGAGAGAGAAATCTCTGTAAACCATATTTGCTGTTATGTTTGCTTCGTAGTACATCATCTTGTTCATCGTCCTACATATGGATAAATTATTGTAAAGGAAAGCTACAAAAACAATGAGCTCACATTTTATGGAGAAATTAATGTTGGGAGTTGAAAATGCATTTTAGCAATTCCGTAAGATAAAAAAAAAAAAAAAGAATAAGAAAATATAGCAACACAATGGTATGATTTAATTAAGACAAAATCGTGTTAGCTTGCGATGGAAGCCCACTTTGGCTGTATATATTTGTTTCGAGAAATAGTCCAACACTTGAGATGAATTAAAATTAATAGGCTAATAGTTTACATAAGTTAATAAATAGGCCAAATTACTGTTTTCATCCATAACTTGTCTGGTTATGAACCATAACTTGACAAGTTATTTCCGGTTTTTGTCCATAATTTAGCTGGCTATGAACCATAACTTGACAAGTTTGTTCATAACTTATCTGGTTATGAACCATAACTTGACAAATTATGGCCTATTAATTTCTATAACTAAAAATTGGCTTATATACTTTCTTAAGCTTTTTATATTGACCTATTTCTTACTATTTTCCATTTGTTTTTTTTAAAATGGCTTGGCCAAAGCCAACTTCCCTTCATACCAGTTCCCGGGTCAAGATATTCGTTGGGAACAAGTCAAATAATCCTACTCTACGTATAACAACACACATAAATAGTTTTCCAGCAATATATATATATATATATATATAACACATTGATAATCATAGTGATGTTCCTTTCAAGTCATATATACATGCAAGTTGCAAACGATAAATGAAAAGCATGTCACTGGATGCTTCTGGTAGAAGAGTTAGAAGAAATAGCATGATACCTTGTTATTGATCAAGTTATGGAGGGCAATCACACTTCGGATGAGAGAAGAAAGATATATAACCAGCATCATATCATTTGTTTTCACTGCATATGACAAGGATCAGATGCTAATAAAAAATATCTGGAATATAATCAAAATGGACTTACGTTACTAGAAACTGAGAACATATATTTCTGCGTGCATAACATACCTGCAAAGGCCTTGACTAACTCGGTCACATTGAGATTTGGAAGCAGATTAAACACGTCCTATAATTGTAAATATAAATTACTTTGAGTATAAATTACTTTGGAAAGTATACTCAAATCATGATTTGGGTTCATTGGCGGGAACTTTGTGAGAGAGAAAATTTTAAAATTCGAACTCTTTGTGAGATAAAAAAATACTGTAGCAGAATCATGACTTGGGTTTGAGTATATCTTCCAAGCTAAAGCCGGAACAAAGAGATTGAAAACGCAGAAGCAGTAAAGCATACATAAGAACTGCAAAACAGGATAGAATGCATAGAGGGAGCTGAGGAAATGGCAACAGAAAGTACCTGCAAATGGTAAAGTATCTCATGATTTAACGGAAGCTTGTTATCAACAACAAGATCTAGGTAACCACGTATTTCTCGCAAGCGTGCATCCAAACCCTTTAAGGCTGTAAGTTTTCCAGTAACCTGAAGAAGGGAAAACGGAAAGGAAAATAAAATAAAACAAAAACAAAATAAAACGTAATCCATTATTTAAGTTTGATATTAATACAACTAAAGCATCAACTGAAAACGTACTCCTGCAGTTGATAATAAAAGATGGCAGCCTAGAATAAGAAACTGCAAAAAGAAACAAAGAACAAAGTCAATCTGACCTGCGTTGCAAGTGCACTAATGGTTGAATCCTTGACATCCCTTAGTAAATGTTCCACTCCTGTTATTGGATGTCATATGGACACGGTTAGTTTTTATATGAACATCACTAGGTAAATAATCAATCAACTAAAGTATCAAGTTTGTGTCTACAAATACCAAACACCGGGAATGTGCATATTAATTATTACTCAACATAAAAATCCATACGCATACCTATTTCCTCAACCTCATGAGCAGCAATCTCAGAGGGCACATGAACAAAAATCTTTTGGCTTTTCTGAGTAGCATTCTGTTACCACAATCAAGGAAGATAGGCTCGGCAGATGTTTAAATGGAGATAATGGACAGGAAAAAAAAAAAGGAAAGAGAAAACCTTGTAAATTTTATAGCCAGTCTTTTTCAATATTTGACAACGTTGTATCAGTTAACAAACCAGAAAACAACATAATTGATTAGGGCACAAGCTATATAAAAACAAATGATGCAACATCTACCTCTTTAACCTCTTCAACGTCATAGTAGGCCTTGGTGGGTATTCCCAGCTCCTTCGGTTGGACATCAATGATGACCAAAACGGGATTTGGAACATAGCTGCAATATCAAAAGGATTTGTTTATAAAAAAGAGCAATAAACACATACAAATACTGGGGTTTATTATAACCAAACTAAAAGTAAAAGTTAAGCCATTAATCCAGATAAAAAGTCTCAGAGCAAAAAAAAAAAAAAAAAGACCAGGTGAAAAGCCATGCTGGTGAAGTAGAGCTCCAAATGAACTCAATTGTTAAAATAAACTTGAACTATATCCACACATTTGGACAATTATAAAAACAGAAATTAGATACAGAAATCAACAACTATAAACAGTTGACTCCAATTGAATGCCCATGATCTTACTTGTGGAACAATCTGTGAATATCTAGATCATTCTCCCGTAGCTTTGGTCCAGTACTATACCAACCTACAACATGCTCCTTGGCTGAACATTACAAGAAATCCACACAAAGATATAAGTAATTATTCCGTTGAAAATTCAGAAAATAATCAGTAACTTAAAAAGTTGAGGTACACTTACCATTTATTCTCTTGAACATCGAAAACATTGATTCATGGTAGTTGTGATCAAGAAACCAAATACTGGGGTCCTTCTCATCCTCTTCAAAGGGAACTGAAATTTAAGAAACATTTCAAGTAAACAATCGTGTCTAATTACACGGTAAATCGTGTCAACAAATGACAATGCAGGCATTTAATTATTCAAATTTAGCTCGGTGTTAACTCCACGTCCTCCTCCAAAGTTGAGATCCTAAGTTCAAATCCCCAGACTCTGAGTCTCTGATTAAAACTTTATAGAAAACTATGAATTTCATCTCACGGTGTCTCTCTAATACTATACATTTACAATGGTTTGTGATATTAAAACAATATGAACCATTAAAAAAACGGTAGGCATCCTCTCAATCAATGATAAATGATAGGATCCATATATTTTGGCCAAAGAATTACTTATATGAACTTATTGAACGTGAATAATTTCCCAAATAGTCTGCATAACATTTAAGTTGTGGTACAAGTGTTAAACATTACTACACATACGAATTGTGGATTATCTTTCAATAACCCATAATAAAATGTTACCAACTACAGATTTTAAAGTAGGACGAGTCAACAATAAAGCATAACAAATCAACATCTAAAAGCCTTCATGATGATACAAATCTTGGAGCTTCATGTGATAAGCCTCCCCTACGATTCACTTATGCCCGGAAGAGACTACGCGAGAAAGGTCATGCGGGGACAGGAAAGGAGATGGAAGCTGCAGCACAGGGGAACACTTTCTCAGGACGGTTAGGAGGGGGCTGAGTTGGCACGAGAGGATGAGCTGGGTTGAGAGAGGGAAAGGTCTGTTAGTTAGTTAGCTGCATTGGAGTCTGTAACTAGGGAAATGTGATCGAATAAGTAGGGAGGGAGGACACGTGAGAAGGGCATCAGAAAAGTGTAAAGTTGAAGTTAGTGAGGGAGTGCATGGGGTCACTCGAAAACCCCCATATCCTGTAATTCTTTCCCTATTTTCTGCCTATTAATTTCATTGATCCAGTAAACTTACTCATATTCATGTGTAGAAGTGTGCTTGCAATTTGTTATTAGTCTGTGAGCTTATCATTTGGTATCAGACTCACCTTTCTGGGAATGATGAAGAGGACTGACGACCGTGAGAAAGAGAGGGCGGAGGGAACGAAAGAGGATTTCATAAGGAATTGGAAATGGTGAGAGAAGATTTGAAGAAGATTCCCAGGCTTGAGTAGGGAATGGCGCTGATGTTGGAAAAACTAGACGAACTGATGCGCCAGAGAGCTGAATGGTAAGCTTAAATGGAGAAGCTTTGGCTTGGTTCCAGCCGGCGGGTGATACAGGACTGGGCGGATCTAAAAGTGTTGGTGCTCGAGAGGTTTCGACCAACACAGGAAGGAAGTTTATGCAAGAAATTCTCATCTCCGCGCCAGGAAACGTCGATCCGGAAGTATCGCAAGCTCTTCGAAACGTTGGCTGCACCATTAACGGAGGTTTCCGAACAGGTCCTAGAGAGTATGTTTGTGAACGGATTAAAGCCCGAAATCAGGGCTGAAATTCGGATGCTGAAGCCCAAGGGATTGGGCCGAATTATGGAATTCACCCAGCGGGTAGAGGAGCGTAACCTACTAGTACGAGGCCCAAAGGCCCACAACTTATAGCCCAGCCCGGGAAACAAAGTAAGTTCTAGAATTCCTGAGTTTGGACCAAGAGAAGGTTCAGTTCAAGCTGGGTTGGGACCGCGAGGAGGAATGGCGCCATGAGGAAAGATGACCCCCGCCACAAACCGACCATTGAGCAGCAGGACCGAAGCAGCACCGTTCCGGCGTTTGACCAATGCCGAACATCAGGCGAAGGGGGAAAATGGCCTCTGTTATCGCTGTGATGGAAAGTATGTTTTCGGGCATTGTTGCCCTAACCGGGAGTTGCAAGTGTTCATCGTGCGAGATGAAGAAGATCAGGAGGAGATGCAGAAAGGAAAGGAGGAGGCACTCGAAGAAGGTGAAGTGGTGGAGCTCTCCATCAATTCGGTGGTTGGACTCACCGCCCCGAAGACTATGAAGCTCCGAGGAGTGATTCGTGGGAACGAGGTAATAATTTTGATCGATAGTGGGGCGACTCACAATTTTATTTCGTTACTTGGTGAGACGATTGGATTTACCTATAGATCGGACTGAAGGATATAGGGTGGTTATGGGAACGGGGTTATCGATAAAAGGGGAAGGAGTTTGCTGTGGGGTGGCAGTTTCGCTACCAGAGGAAGAAATTGTGGAAGATTTTCTTCCCTTGGAGTTGGGTAGTGCAGATCTAATTTTAGGGGTTCAGTGGCTAGAAACTTTAGGGATGATGACAGTGAATTGGAAGACTTTACTAATGAAATTCAATCTCGGGGATCCCGGGTTAAACAAATCCCTAGTCACCCTTAAGGCCTTAATGCAAGCTCTTAAGCACAAGGTATGTGGGTGGAGTTGAATAACCTGGGGATAAGCCAAGAGAAAGAGGCTGTGGAGGCACCAGAAGAGCTGCAAGCCGTGTTACAACGGCACTCAGCAGTGTTTGAATCTCCGTCAAAATTTCCACCAGAAAGGGCAAAGGATCACTCGAGAGTGTTGAAGGCAGGGACTTCTCCGATTAACGTCAAGCCATACCACTATCCACAGATACAAAAGGACGAGATTGAACGTTTAGTGGAGGAAATGCTAGCAGCAGGTATAATCCAGCCCAGTATGAGCCCATACTCCAGTCGGGTCCTTTTGGTGAAAAAGAAAGATGGAAGTTGGAGGTTCTGTGTGGATTACCGTGCACTAAACAAGGAGACAGTGCCGGATCGTTTTCCAATACCGATAATAGATGAATTATTCGATGAGCTCCATGGGGCTACCATCTTCTCTAAAATTGATCTCAAGTCGGGATACCATTAGATTCGTGTGAGGCTGGAAGATGTGCCCAAGACGGCTTTTCACACACATGAGGGGCACTACGAGTTCCTTGTCATGCCATTTGGCCTCACGAATTCATGTTGTTTGGCCTCACGAATTCATGCCGTTTGGCCTCACGAATTCATGCCCCGACAACCTTTCAGTCACTCATGAATGAAGTGCTACGAGCTTTTCTCTGTAAGTTCGTCTTGGTTTTTTTTTTACGACATATTAATCTACAGCCGTACTATGAGGGAACATGAGCACCATTTGGATCGGGTATTGGCCGTTTTGCATCAGCCCCGTTTGTTCGCCAATGGGAAAAAGTGTAGCCTCGGGCAGAACTCAATCGAGTACCTTGGGCATATTGTGTCTAGGGAAGGGGTGTCGGCAGACCCAACCAAGGTGGAGGCTATGGTGCTCCACCCTCCCGAACTTGAAGGAGTTGCATGGCTTTCTTGGGTTAACCGGCTATTACAGGAAGTTTGTGGCAGGTTACAACCACATTGCGGGACCATTGACGAACTTACTACGGAAGGATAATTTTCACTGGGATGAGGAGGCCAGAAGCGTGTTTGCCGCACTAAAGCATGCCATGACAGTAGTACCCGTCCTAGCCTGATTTCAATGATTTCAATAAACCCTTCGTGTTGGAAACAAATGCTTCGGGTCATGGGATTGGGGCAGTGTTAATGCAAGAACAATGGCCCATTGCATATTTTAGTCAGGCTCTTTCTGCGCAAGCACGCGAAAAATCAGTTTATGAGCGAGAATTGGTGGCCATAGTCCTAGCCATTCAAAAATGGCGGCCATATCTCTTGGGACGTCATTTCGTGATCTGCACCGATCAGCGTAGCCTCAAGTACCTGCTCGAGCAACGCCTCGTGTCTCCAGAACACCAAAAGTGGTTAACCAAGCTCTGATGGGTTACGACTTCGAGATCCAATATAAACCGGGATCGGACAATAGGGATGCAGACGCTCTTTCCCGCCTTGTTAGCACCCCGGACCTGGGTGCCTTGTCAGTGACCCCAATTGTCGACACTAGTGAACTGCACTAGCAGGTATTGCTCGATGAAAACTTAGCTAAGGTATGGTCCGAATTAGAGCAGGATGTTACAGCACATCCGGGTTTTTCCATTGCTCAAGGCAGGTTATTATACCACGGCAGAATGGCAGTACCTCGGGAGTCTCCATTTATCAAAACACTGTTGCATTCCAACCACGATGGTGTCTTGGGAGGACACTCGGGCGTATTGAAGACATACCGGTAGATTGCAGCGGAATGGTACTGGACTGGTATGAAAAAGGACGTCACTGCTTACGTAGCTGCGTGTGCAGTGTGTCAGCGCTGTAAGACTTCTACACTGGCCCCTAGTGGTCTCCTACAACCCTTACCTATCCCAGACCGGGTGTGGGAGGACCTTTCGATGGACTTTATTGAGGGCTTACCGCGTTCAGAGGGATACGACACCATCTTGGTCGTCGTGGATCGACTAAGCAAGTATGGACATTTCCTTACGCTGAAACATCCTTTTTCCGCAGAGATCGTGGCCAGAATCTTCATTCGGGAAGTAGTGCGCCTCCATGGGGTGCCCCGTACTATCGTGTCAGATCACAATTGCATTTTCCTGAGTCATTTTTAGACCGAGCTCCACAAGCAGATGGGTACTACTTTATTACGGAGCATGGCCTACCACCCCCAATCCGACGGCCAAACCGAGGTGGTCAATAGGTGCGTGGAAACGTACTTGCGTTGTTTCACTTCGGACAAGCCCAGCCAGTGGCACAAATGATTAGCTTGGTCGGAGTACTGGTACAACACCTCTTTTCATACAGCCACCCGCACCACACCCTTTTAGGCAGTATACGGCCGCGCTCCCCCTCCACTGTTGTGTTATGGCACGGGCTCTTTTCCGGTGGACTCCGTGGAGCAGCACCTCATGGACCGCGATGCAATGCTGGACCTTGACACGTTCTTCTTCGCGCCCAGCAGAAAATGAAGTACGTGGCCGATAACAAGCGTCGGGATGTCCAGTTCACCGTGGGGGACTCAATGTATCTCAAGCTTCGCCCCTATCGTCAGGTGAGTTTGGCGCGCATACGCAATGAAAAGTTTAAGTCCCCATTTTTATGGCCCCTTTGAGATCATTAGCTGTGTGGGACCGGTTGCATACCGCCTCAACCTTCCAGCGGAGGCTGCTATCCACCCGGTGTTTCATGTATGTCAACTACGCCGTGTTGTTGGGCAAGGGCAGCCTGTCTCCGCCTTGCCACCACACCTCACAAAGGACTTGGAGCTGCAGGCAGAACCAGCTGCCCTGCTTGGGGTGCACCAGTGGGTACATGGGGGACGCTCAGACCTAGAGGTCCTGATACGTTGGGCTAATTTACCTGCCCATGAGGACACGTGGGAGTCCTATCAGGCAATAGACCAACAGTACCTTCACTTTCACCTTAAGGACAAGGTGCGTCTTTGGGGCGGGGGTAATGATAAGCCTCCCCTACGATTCACTTATGTACGGAAGAGACTCCGTGAGAAGGATCATGTGGGGACAGGGAAATAGATGGAAGCTGTAGCACAGGGGAACACTTCTCAGGACGGTTAGGAGGGGGCTGAGTTGGCACGAGAGGATGAGCTGGATTGAGAGAGGGAAAGGTCTATTAGTTAGTTAGCTGCATTGGAGTCTGTAACTAGGGAAATGTGATCGAATAAGTAGGGAGGGAGGACACGTGAGAAGGGCATCAGAAAAGTGTAAAGTTGAAGTTAGTGAGGGAGTGCATGGGGTCACTCAAAAACCCCCATATCCTGTAATTCTTTCCCATTTTTTGCCAATTAATTCCATTGATCCAGTGAACTTACTCATATTCATGTGTAGAAGTGTGCTTGCAATTTGTTATTAGTCTGTGAGCTTATCAGTGCGGTAGTTTCACATAAACTTAAAGATTCACCTTTAGGTCCTAAAACCTAAAAATTACCGCTTTGAGCAAGGCTAAACAGTTTCAATTTCTACATTACTACTATTGCAAATGATGGCTGAATTAAATAAAATATAGACTTTGGACAAACCTTCTTCCACTTTGCAATCAGATTGCGGTCAGCATAACCTTGGTCCAAACAGAACTCATACAAGTCCTTGGATATTTCCTTTCGCCGATGGTAAAGGTCGAAGATATAACGGCTCTTCTGATGTGCTATCTTGAATATAGGCCACAAAGTCTCACACTTTCTCTTACCATCATGAGAATCATTCTCGGCTGCCCAAGAAATAGAAATTCACAAAAAAAAAGTGTCACCTCAATTTTCTTGTCAAAAAATATAGAGAATCACATTCAGTTAAGTGTGAATAACATGAAAACTATCAAACCTTCTCTCATCTTTGCTTGTAGTTCACGAAGAGTAGGCTCAATCAATTCCCAACCCTCTGGGTGTTTCACACGATTTGTCTTCACTTTCGGCATTCTTCTATCTACAAAACAAACTATGAAAAAAATAATAATAATAAATTTAGAAGGGGGGAAAAAATCTTAAAAATCACAATATTAAGTACTTAAAGGTCTCTATATTCAAGGTAACAAAAAATAAAAAAAAATAAAAAAACTGGTGTTTCTCATATAATCAACCAAAAATCCTAAAAATCACAATACTAAATACTCAAGGCCTCTATATTCAAGGGGGGGAAAATGTACTGTTTCGTTTGTATTTCAAAATCAACCAAAAAACCAATTTAACGTAATCAAAGAACAACAATAAACGAATACGAAGTTATCAAATCACGGATTTTTCTTCTATCACTGAATTGGGAGAAAAATTCTGTCATAAACAATTAATCAAACATGTAACGTGCATTATATACTGAGTAAAGACATCTACTTTTCTTTATAAATCATCAACATGAAACAAAAAAAAAAGAGAATAATTAGGAAAAGTATCCGAGGAACTAGCTCCTTCAACCTTAAAACCCTAATCGAGTTCGATTTTGCAGAACAAGGTTTTAGATACAGCAATATGTATGAATCGTATATGTATATACGCAGAAAAATATAAGAAGAGTGGAAAGAGGCTTACAGATTTTCCGGCGAAAAGAGAACGACAGAGTTTACTCACGGATCTCCTTCGGCTACTAGAAAATTCTGGAAAAACCAAGCTCAGAAAGAAGAGGAGCGGAAAAACAGTTTTCTTATTTAAAGGGTTCTTTATCTTTTCATCCCGTATATTTTGTTTTTATTCAGAAAGTATGCCCAATATTTTGAAGTCTTGCATTTTAGTTTTGGACATTTTACAATTTACTCCCTAAACTTATATTAAATTTCTAATTTTACCGACTCTTCCCTTAATTTGTAAAATTATTTTAATTTGCCCATTTTGATAATAGCTGTGTTAAATTAGTGATAAAACCAAGTTTAAATAAAGATTCCAATACTCAATTTAAACTGTAACACAAATATTTCAATTCTCTACTATCAATCCTAAAAGCTAACAAAGCTAACAAAAAATCAGAAAATTAGTAAAATGAACCACATTATAATAGCTTTGAAAATTAGAATGGCAAATTATATCAAAATAAAAAATTTAGAAAATAAGTCGATAAAATCCTATAAGTTTAAGGGTAAATATGTAAAATACCTAAGTTTTTTAATTAAATTTAAGAACACATCGCCGCCGTTTATGATTGTCGACTTGCTGTCGCTTAATTTAAATAGAAGACATGTCGTTGACAATAAATGAGTTTATGGCCCGTTTAGTTTGCTCATTCGAGTTTTTAATTTGAGTTCATATGTGATTTTATGTGAGAGCTTTTTACTGTAACAAAAAAGTTAGATGTGACTGTTTTTAAGAGTTTTTACTGTAGCAAAGTTTGAATTCTAAATTCGAATCGGTGAAATAAACGGGGCCTTTAATGTCTTTTCTTTTTTTTCTTTTTTTTTTTTTTAGAAAAGTTAATGTCGATTCTTTAACCAAATGACATGTACTGTATATTATTACTTAATAACGACACATTGTTTTTGTTCTGAAAGTTTGTAGTCGTTTAAGTGAGAAAACGACGTTATTACTTTTGCCATTACTCCCAAAACGACATGTCATTTATCGCTTACAAGTTCGTTCTCATTTTGATTGTAAAGACGTGCATTTTCTTTGTCATTGAAACTCTTAATTTCTGGTCGTCTCTTCTTAGAATTATATGTTGCTAAGAAAGAAAGTATTAGTTTCCGGTCGTTTATAAAATTCTGTCATAAAAGCACTTTTTAAAGGTTTGAAAGTGCTTTAATCTTTACGTCATGAAACTGTGTCCATAGTTTACCATGATTTTCTTTTGTAATAGTATTTCTTCTTGTCGTTTAAGTTTTAAAAAAAAATGTAATTTACAGCTTATAAGTTTGCTGTCGTTTAACTCGTAAAACGACATCACATGTCAATTATCATGATATCATCTAAGTGTCGTTTGAAAGTTTACGAATTCCATTGTGTTGTTTGATGCTAAAGCCTTTTTGTGTTATAGCAGCAAATTTAAAATTTTTGTTTTTATTTTTGAAAAATCTATAGTTGTGTTTGTGTGGTCTTTCAAACATTGACTTTCTGCGGGCTGATCAACTTCTCTCAGCTCCCTCTTCTAGTCACTCCGCTTGTAGAGGACGTTAGGGAGTGTCTTTTGCAAGACACTCCGAGCGCTTAAGTCAGGCAAATGTATGAACAGAAATAGAATGACAGAAGGATATTTTAGAAAGCAGCTTGAGAGTACAAGGAAAAGCTTCCTGGAGAATGCATCACATTCTATTTATGAGTGAGTGCCATGATCAGATGAATATTCTTTATTTCCTCTGATCATGACACATCATAGATCTTTACCCGATTAGGGTTTCCCTTAGGGTACTCCCTCCTCGGAAAAGTCCTAGGAAATTTTCCAATTTGATAGATGTCACTTTCAATTCCGTTATCACTTTACACACATCATGTTTTTAGTGGTCATATCATTCTTTGGAAAAGGGGGAACATGCGCCTTAGCTTTGGGACGGTCATTTCCCCTCACGCATGTCATTCCCATCTTTTTCTTGAACTCGGTCCATTTCAGTGCGTCGGAGTTCTCTGACAACATTGGACTGAGTCCTTGATCGAGGTCCGTGATTTCCTTCAACCTCGGCCTGATATCGATATGGGACCTCGATTGAGGTGCGTGCTTTCCTCAGTTAAGGTGGGCGGCCTAATTCGGCATGAATATTTCTTCTTTGAACTTCCCTTTAGTCTCAAAACCCATTGCGAGTACTAACACATGGCACGATTCCGCACTGGGAGTGAAATCTTCTCAACAAGTTGACATTGGACAAGGTTTAGAACACTACATATTTTATATATATAGATATATATAAATATATATATTGCCAGAATCTTATTTATTTTTGTTTTTTTTACAAAGAGTTCTAGAGTAAAACAGCATACAATATGGACGCAACGAAAGATGCAAATGAAGACCTTTGTCAAAGTAAAATGAGGATGTTTTTGCGGGACAACATACTAACACTAGTATGGTATAAACCAACGCTTCCTGTCAAATTAAGAAACAATATAACAAGTACGACAACTGCATTCAACATGTCAAGTATTCAACTACTCTCAACAACATCCTCTCCTGTATATTTTCCAACATGTCAAGTATTCAACTACTCTCAACAACATCCTCTCCTGTATATTTTCCAACATGTCAAGTATTCAACTACTCTCAACAACATCCTCTCCTGTATGTTTTCCCTTTTAACAGTGTGTTTGGTAGGGTGGAAAAGAAAGAAAAGAAAATAGAAGAAGAATTTTGGAGAGAAAAATGAAATTTTAGGTTATTTGGTAGAGAGGAAATGAGGAAGCAAGGAAAATAAAAATCTATGGGACCTACCAATTTTTAATCCTTCCAACTTTGGAAAGAAAAGATGAGGGAAAAAGTTAGACAAAAAAATGAGATGTAAAATAACAATTTTAACCTTTACTATTCATCAAATTTTTATTTGTATTGGGGTATTATTGTAAAATACTTTAAATTTAATATTTTATTTTCACTTTTCTTTCTCTTCTACTAAACAACATGAGAGAAAACCATTTTACTTCCTTTACCTAGGTATTTTACTTCTCTTTCCTTCCTCTTTTCTATCCATCCTACCAAACATAACATAAATGTCTTGGAAATGCTCCGCCTTTGTGTTTTAAAATGCCAATGGCTGAACTTCGGCTATCACCAGAGAAGACATTGGAAAGGAGTCCATGTTGCTCCACATCACTTGTAATAACTACAACCTTTCCTTCGCCACCTTTTTAATGACATTTTTTCCGGTCCATTCTAACACCAACGTCTCTTTGTGAACTGGCTTTCTACGAGGCTCCAAAAATGGGAGAGTTAAACCACATTCCCTTGACTTACATCTTGCTAACTTCACAGCACGCAAGGAACACTTCTGATCATCCTAAGATGGCATACAAAATAGACTATAAGAACTACATTTAATCGGAAACAGAAGCTAAGGACACTATTCACCAACATTGGATATTATGTCAAAACACAAGAATACACAACTTCAGTGCTAGGCGTAACTTATTGATACCGAATCACGTGATAAGTGCATTGTCATCCTTGAAGTGTTGCCACATTTCAGTGATAATAAAAAATTGTATCTACCAATGTAAAGATGACAATTCACTTGCCAAGTGAGTCGGTATGAAAAAGTTGATAAAAGAATTGATACACCTGGCTTACTCTAAACTTCAAGACACCTTTTCGTTTTTTGCAACTTACAGGTGGAACATCAAAGCAGCCTTCACTTGCATCACAAAAATCGAGCGACACTTTTCTAAGTAATGGCATCTGTACTTAATGCAAACGGGTAATGATAACTAATGTTACTTCATAAACTTGATTCATGTAATTGAAAAAAAAAAAGTGAAATAATAATGTTATATTTACCTTTGAAGCAGCATAACAAATGAAGCTTTTTTGTAGCCCAGGACCCTGTATAAAGCAAGAAAAATCCAGCCCAGCAAAATGAAGTCATAAGGATTAAGGAACATTTGGAAAATATATATATATATATATATATTCAAGGTTTAAAATTAGACTCTAAATCCGGCTATCCAATCATGGCTAGACGGTATAAATCTCATATCTTTAATAATCTTTTTTTATAAAAGGAAGAGAATTATGTCCAAACAGAAGACTTTTTATGCTCTTAAACGAAGACAAGTACATCATCTACAAAGATGTCAAGAACTGAATGATTAGGGTATTTGGTCAACGAACAGACGAAGACAAGTACATCATCTACAAAGATGTCAAGAACTGAATGATTAGGAATATTTGGTCAACGAACATAAAATAAGAGCAATCAATCTTTTAATTGTTGTGCACAAGCCCCTATGTGGAAAAGAAGTCTCACATTATGTCGCAACAACAGATCTTCAAGAGCCACACACTTAAGAAGAGAAGAAACCCCATTTGCTGTAACCTCTCCACATTCCTGACAAGATCATCAATCATATTGGAAAATTTTAATGACTACTTAAAAGGAAAGCATTTCAACAAAGTTTTATGAGAATATGTACTAAATACCCCTTGAACATTTTGATAAAAAAAAATAAATAAATAATTGACTTCCTAATTCCAATACCCATCTTGAGCATACAACGTTTAAAAATAGGCCGTGATGGATCCACCATAAACAAAAAGGAAAACAACTGTAAAAAGTGATACGCCTTTCAACATATTACAGTGGCAGAATGATGATTATCCTATAAATGACAATATGTACACAACCTGTAACATGTGTATACCTTTGGTGAGTGTAGATAGGGTTAAATTATGTTTGTTGGAGCTAATGTGAAATTATATTCCACATATTCAGCGTTAAGATTATATTCTAAGTAGTGCTTTTCACTTTATTCTCTTTGAACATACAGAAGGAAAATAAATGAATAAATAAAAGGGACAGAAATTGGTATCCAAGCATAAGAAATATGTAGATGGAAAACCTCCAGATGGATTGAAACTAAGCCTGGCCATCCATGTGAGATGATTTGTTGAGAATCTGCAACGAAGATAAAGTATGAGATATATAACATAGCAAAGTGTGTATTGCCCTGAAGAGTCGGTGTTTCAAATTTGCTTTAACCACAAACTGATGAAGCAAAAGAATATGATATCTCTTATTAAAATGTTCATCCGGAGCTTTGTTTTCTCAACCATATAAAGTATATTGATAATTTTAGAGATATAAAATTGAAGGTTTACAGTAATGTTTATCACCAAGGGAAACATAATGATAGTATCCTGTGTAAAAACCACCACTAACCTGAATTCAGATGTGGACAACCTAGTAATGCAAGCTCAACTAGATTCGGAAAGCTTCGAATCAGAATAACCAAATCTTTATTGGTCAACCATGGGGTTACCCGTTCAAGCTGCAATTTTCTCAGATTTGGCATAGAGAACTTGAAACCTAAAATCGATATATCACCAAAACAGTAACATAAAGCTAGGACTCGCAAGTTCCTCAGAGTTTCCATGATGTTTATAATGATGTCATCCGATATTACCTGTAAAGAAATGATGTCAGTCTATGAAACTTGATCCCTAAAGAAACTTAGGCCTCGTTCAGTTCACCGATTCGAGTTTTCAATTCAAGCTGAGATGTGACTTTATGTGAGAGCTTGTAACTGTAGTAAAAAAGTTAGATGCGACTTTTGTGAGAGCTTTTAACTGTAGCAAAATTGGAATTAAAACTCGAATCGGTGAAATGAACGAGGCCTTAATAACTCTTAAGGAGGGATGTAAAGAAACTAATCAATTAATCCAATATAACCAAGTAATAGCACTGGAAAACAATGCTTGCACATGGGTACTAAGAATTCGTGCGCACTAGTTAACCAAGGTAGCAACTCAATAATTCACTCTTCATCACACAAGACCTGATAACTGATTTGGGAGAAAAGCAAGCAAAATGGTCTGTAAATAACCAGCCTAAACAATGAGACACCAATAATGCAGGGAAGCAAATGCTGGTCTTTATTTTGTCAACAGAAAACTTGGAAGTAGCTTAAACGTTGTTTATGAGTAATACCTGAAATTGAAGAACTATGGACTGTAGACTAGGACAAGCAGTAGGTAGTTGTATAAGAGCACCTTCACCCAATGATCCACCCAAGCTGACAGTTATCTCCCTTAGTGATGTAATTGCAGCTTTCAGAGCTTCAATAGAGAAGTGAGAAAATCCCCATCCAACTGAAAGTTCTTCCAATCTGCAAGTTTTTCCTAAAGCCATCTCCAGTTCTCCACAAAAATAGGAAGAAATTTCTCCCTCTCCAGTATTACTTTCCCTTTGACACAAATTTCTACAACCCTTCACTCTCAAACACTTCAAACCGGGGTTCCCATAGACTACGTGTGCTACAGCAGCTCCAGAGACCTGAAAACTTATAAGACACTGTCATTGGCTTGAAAAGCTCCATTTCCATTTAATGGCATTCAATGACACAGTTGAAATGAGAAGTGGAAAAAGACACGGACAATTTTGCCATTTATTGTCAGTCAAATGCATCATAAATCAGTTTTTCTTTCACCATTATTTGTTTCAGTTGAAACATTTGGAGGCTACTTAAGCATCTAACCGCTCACTTCTATATTTTTTTTATTAGCAGATTGAACTAGCCGATATCTGAAAAACTTATGACCCTTGACAACTTCCCACATGACAATACGTGAAAAGCAGGTGATATTTCCAATCGCTCCCTGGAAACTACGGTATCAGGTTCTAGTATAAACGATGTCTAACCATAGTATTAGAAACATCAAGCATCTCCAAGGAAGAACCAGCAAGACTATACAGTGTGCGGTCTGTGAGGTGAGTGTCCCCCAAGCAAAGACTCTTCAGCATTCGTGTTTGAGACAGAAGCTTTAGAAGAGAGGTTTCATCAACACCTAAAAAGATTGATCATAAGGTCCCATGAATTTAAGTGTTAAATTCACGAATTCACCAAACTTAGAGGAAGGAAAAAAAAAAAGAAAAAAGAAAAAAAAGAACCATCCTAATTGACTGTAATTGTTCAGACTGAAAGCCTTCTGAAAAAAAAAAAAAAAAAAAAAAAAAAAAAAAAATCATCTTTAAATAATAAATAAAAAATGCTCACTTCTTCCTCTTCTTAAATTGTTGTGAGACTTGCAATTCAATGCTTTTAAAACAGTTGAAAGTTTGCCTGGAAAACAGCGCTTATAGCAAAGAAAATGAAACTTACACTTGCAGCCCCCAATATGCAGTGTCTGGAGATTGAATGCCATAGACTCTGGAAAGTGAGCAGAAGTATCATCTGTACCATGAGAGCTAGAGCATAGAGCTAGAACTGAATTCAATCCAAAAGAAGTATAGCAGACTAGAATCGATTGCAGAGTAACATGCTGTCTCTGTATAAGAGTTGATATGCCAACGTCTGTTAATCCAGTACACCCTTTAACGTTTAGGTGCTGTAGGTAGATACAGAATTTTGAGATATGAAGGAGATCTGAATCTGGAAATAAGGATATGAATAACAGTTAAAGTTATGGTCAAAAAAGAAAATCAAGAGATTTTTGCAACCGAAAGAACAGAAAAACAAATATTGAAAACTCATTTATTTAGTGGTATATACATGCTATGCAATTTTCTTTTTCCCATTCCCACACAACCAATGAAAACTTTTAAAATAGAAGCTAATATTAGATAACCTTCAATTAAAAAGAAAAATTAACACTGTTCACCAGCATTGCTTACATTTTTGCAAGATTTGAGGACCCATATGCTATCATCAATATGATGCCATTTGTGAGCCAAATCTATTTCACTTCAGCACCACAAACATGTTGTGCAACGGAAGCTTCCAACGAACTTACTAATGTATTATATTAACTGCTAGTTACCACTTTTAGGGAGGATATTCAATGCCCGGTAATGTAGCTGAAAGTTACAAATACTTTTCTACCAACTTCTGGTACAATTTTTAACAAATAATAGGTAGTCACCTTCTTGTCTTGACATAGTTATGTGAAACTATTGAGTGCAATTTTTTCGCTCACGTTACTGCAACATTAATATATTGGGTAACAATAAAGTGTAGATAGAAAAGCATCTCACCACAAAGCTCACTACGGCCCTCTAGTATGAGTTTTGTGATATTTGACAGCATCAGATGAGACTTATAAATAGATGACTTATCCACAGCCACGGGTTTATCACCAGTAACTACGAAATTATCAGAAACTTGTTCTGATATGACTGGACTAGTATCAAGGGTAAGGTCAACTTCACGGATCGTAGGGCATTTCTGCACCAACAGACGCAAAGTTTTTATATTGAAGTCCAATAAATAAGCTGCCTTCAGTATTTTCAATGATGGGAATGACATGGAGAAACATTCAATTGAGGCTTGAAGATGCAATCTTCCACACTTTGAAATATTCACTTCCTCTACTGCTTTAAAAGACAACATTGGCAACAATCCATGTGAAACTGGGTTGAGATACCTGTCAACGCTTTCAAGCTTAACCAATAACTGCTTAATGTTTTTTCTTAGCTTGGAATCTGTACTGTATGTAGAAGGAAGCAGAGACAAGAGTAGCATTGCTGACGTTATCTGTATACAACTTGAAAGGTTCATTGTCTGCACAGAGGATAAACCAAGTAAAACTATGAGAACCAAATCCTGAGGCTTGTATCAAAGGCTTTCAGCAAAGAGTTTTGGGAGGACAGAGAGACTACTACTTCCTGCGAATTAAGAAGTATCACAATTACCCTTGAAATATTTGGATATTCTTTGAAAATAAGAAATAAGTTTATACCAGGAAGTGCTGAATGATCCTCAACAAGAAAAATGCAGGAAAATAACATGAATACCTTAGAATGTTCAGTTAGTCGTATTCTGGTATCCTTAAAGTCGCCATCCTCCAGGAAATGTATTGAGTCAGTGGGTGGAACTTTAAGTAGTCTGAAAACTGAAATAATGCTCTCATCAGCAAGCTTGGAGAAATGGCAAGATCTTCTTTTTCCTGGAAAATGTCCCAATAGATATCGTTAATGCAAAGAATGAAGAAAATTCGCTTTTGGCAATGCTGAACAAAACATTCAGAAATTAAGCATACCTTCAGTAAACCACAGTGGTAAAAGGCTCAGATGGATCTGCTCAACACCAATAAGATTGAAAATGTGACAACCTTTTAAGTTTAGTTTTGGACAATTGCAAATTCAATTCTGAAACTGGTTTTTTATTTATCTTTCAGGATTGTGAAAGGTCAATACATCAATTTTTGTATAGTGAAAGTTTCCTTCCTTTCCATCAGCTCAAATGAATAAGATCTTATCACATTTTTTCAAGTTGTATTACTACTACTGAACCTATGATAACAACTAATCCACATATCCTGCTTGTCCTAGTTTATGCAAGCAAAAAGTAAGAGAACTGCATTTACACGGATTTTTCCCATCTGAGCATGTGTACTTCTCCAAAAGGAAAACTTCACTCCAACAATCATTGTATTTATTAGGAAGACAAGACCACACCCACCTGTCACCACACCAACCATGCACAACAACCCGAATTCAAATTTGTGGTACAGACATACCAATTAAACTTCTTTCTTGATCTATCTTAGATTTATTATATCCTCACCACAATGGCCTACACAAGACAATATATTGAAACATCAATGTACCTGTTTTAGAATGCTACTATAGTTGGTTTCTGTGCTGCTCAAGCCGTCAGAGTCTCCTGTGTTAGCATCAAGCCAGATAAGAAGCGCATCACAAAGATGCATCTCACTGTAAAAGACCCCCAAAATGTTAGAATTCCAAATATGTTAAAGGAATTTCCATCATGCTATTGCAAAAATAACTACCTTTCCATTGTCAAATGAGGGTGCCTTATACAAATTACCAACAAAGAGTATGGGATATCTACAAAAGATTTACGAGAGATGGCCCACATCTGCAGAGACAATGTTAACTGTCACTTTCAATTAGCATAAGAAGAGGTTACCATACTAGATTGATAACCCTATTGATGTAATATGTTGGGAATCTTTGTATTTCAACAACATTAGCCACACGTGCTAAGTATATATACTAACTCACATAGTAATAAGAATTCATTGAATACCTCACTGTATGAATTATGGAATACACTAATATCACTACAAATTGGATAGTGAATCTAAAAAGTGCAGAAATCAAAGTTTGGGCACGTACAAAATTCTTTGCAAGATAGCTTCCACATGATTCTAAAAGAAAATCATTCCCTGCAATGCATTTTAAATGTCTCCATTAGACCAGATATCATAACAAATAACAACTTTTCTAACCTTTATAATATTAGTTTTTTTTTTTTTTTTCTTGAAAGCCCCCTTTGGCACAAACCCCCCCAGGTTTTGAACCTGGGACCTAATACCCAAACTCCCCACCATCTGGGCTAGCCCCAGATGGGTATAATATTAAATTCTTTTTTATTTTTATCAAATGCTAGGATGAATTGAGATCAAAGAGATTCTCACCAGACTTGATACCAAAGTTCCAAATGGAAATCAGATTATCCAATGGTATTTGGGGTATCACGATAGATGATGCTGCCTCAGAAAACCAGGTTTTACACTTTTCAAGAAGAAACTTGACTCCAAAATAAAGCGCACCCTGAAAATTTATTACATTAACATTTTAGGCGAGTTTGTAATACATGTTCACTTTTTCCATTACATTTTTACTGCTTGCTAATGAGTATTAGATCTCTGATATGCCAATGTCGTGTCTAGACAGATGATATTTAATTAACTTTGTCGTTTATCAAAATTATCGTCTCATACCACAATGTCGTTTCCTAAAGATGATGTTGTTGGTTGTCGCTTACAAAAGTGTCCCAGTTTGTATTAAATTTTCTCATTTCTAAGGCTATTGTTATTTTAACATATCATTGCTGGTCGCTTGTGTAAGGGCATTGTCGTTTGTTCATTGCCGTTGTTTTTTGAATTATTGTCGTCTGTAGGATACATTGTCCTTTTCAGTTTATTGTCCTCAACTTATTGTCGTTGGTAAAGTTATCCTCATTTCTCCCACAAATTGTCCTCCTCGTGTAGTTTGCTTTCTTTTAATGATTTTTTTATTATTTATTTCATAAAGGTTGTCGTTTAGATTTTATTGTCGTTAGCTACTTTTAAGACATTGTCGTTTAGATTTTAACTTCTCGTCCTTTCATAAGACGCTGCCATTTACCTACGATGATGTCGTTTGTCGACTTTTCGATGATGTTGTCAGGTAGTAGAGTTAGCCTCAGTAGATTTTGCCGTTTTTAAGTCGTTTGCTTTCCTTTTTAATTACTAGTCTTTAGCGCGTGTAATTCACTTAAAATAGCGGTAATTCAAATTGGTTGTTTTTTTTTTAAAAAGGACAGAAAAGAAATGAAGACAAAAAAGGAAAAAGATTTAAAGTAAAATACAAAAAAAAAAAGATTTTAATTTATTTTGTTGTGTTTTAAATTAGTTATATTTTGTTTTATTTAATTTGGCATGATTTTATTTTATTTTAGTGCATTATTGTTTAATTTTTTTATTTGAATTATTTATAGTATTTGTATGTGAATAGCATCGCAAATTTGGTGCGAAACGGTGTTAAAATGTATAAAAGGGCAACAAATCCGTTAAAAATAAACAAATAATAATGAAAAATAAATTCAGAAATTATTACGACCATCGGATAGAGAGACACGCGCATGATTCATTTAAAATAGCAATCATATAAATTGCTAAAGACAATTTTCTTAAGCTAAAGACAATAAAAAACGACTTTAACTTCTTTTATTGTGTTTTAAATTAGTTTTATTTTATTTTTCTTAATTTATTTTTATTTAATTTCATGCGATTTTATTTATTTTAATGTATTTTTATTTATTTTTATTTTTTATTCTAATTATTTATAGTATTTTAATCTGAGTAGCATCATAAATTTAATGCAATACAGCTTCAAAATGGACAAATTGGAGAACATATCAGTTAAAAAATAAACAAAATAAATAATAATAATAATAATAAAATAAATTCAGAAATAATCATGATCGTCCGATCAATGGTAAAGGCCCACGACAGTAGAAGTTAGGGGGAAAGAGATCAATAAATAGGGACTTCATGTCTCTGAGAAAGAGGTTACGACCCAGGCTTATATTTCTATTTTCAGAGTGTTTCAGGAGAGGAAAGCAGTGTAATTCTGAATTTTGTATCAACATCATCCGTATAGTGAAGAACACAATGGATGTAGCTCTCAATTGGAGTGAACTATTATGGGCTTGTTTAGTTCGTTAATTTAAATTTTTAATTTGAGTTGATATTTGACTTTGTGTGAGAGCTTTTACTGTAGTAAAAAAGTTATATGTGATTGTTTCTGAGAACTTTTTACTGTAATAAAACTCGAATTCTAAACTCAAATCGATGAAATAAACGGATCTCAACCTCATTTACTTTATTTGCTTTACATTTTTTATGCTTTATTTGATTGTTCTTTATGATTGTGCTAAGTTGTTTTCAGTATAAAGGTTTTCCATGAAGCCTGATTCTATGGTTTAAATGCAGATAATAAGGATGAACAAAGGTCCAATATCGTATAAATTCAATATTAACTTATGTTTAAGCACGTCTACAGTTACAAAGCCCAAAAAAAACCCATTTAACCTTAGTAATGTTGTATATGGGGATATATTTGAAAATATATAGAAAATAAAGGCAAAAGATGTAATAAAGAAAGTTGAGGGCCAGGAAAAAAAATGTTTATTAGGAGAAAAATAATAGTTTAGATAATTGTGAGAAAGTATTAAATGAGGATATATTTGAATATATATTAAAATTAAAGGGAGGAAAAGAAAGAGAATAAGAAACAAAAACTAAAAAAAGGCCACACAAAAAAAAAACCTTAAAAAGATATTGGGCTTTAGTATTGCTGATAGATCTATTTTATAAAGGTTGTCGTTTAAATTTTACTGTCGTTTGTTAGTTTACTTTCAAAATATTGTCGTTTTACTATGACGATGTCGTTTGTTAATATTTCTTTTCTTCTTTTCCTTTTTTGGAAATCCGTTTCGTGTATTTACATTGTCGCTTACCTAGAATGTTCCCAAGATGTTATCGTTTAAAAATTAGTTTGCAGTGTCCCCCTTCCCCCCTACAAAACTGCATCCCCAGTAAAACCCTAATAATCACTCCGTCGCCGGAGTTTGTTCTGAAAATGTATACGAGTAAAAGCCATTCAATTGTTTACCTCATAAAATGCCAAGAAATTATCGCCGGTGATGTCAATTGGGCAGCCATAAATGCACTTAAGAACATTCAAAAACGCTTCCAAGTCCCACTCGATCGAAATCTGATCCAGCCGTGATTCACTGCACAATCAATCAAAATTCCATGATTTTGATTCAGTTTTGGATTCGTCAATAATTTCTTGAACAAAATACGTACAATTCCCTATTTTTACCTGAAGCTCCAATTGAGCATCCCATGGAAATACGAAGACTGTTCGACAAGCCTGAAACACAAGATTCTCGCTCATTTCGGAGGAAACAAACGGAACCAAATAGAAAAAGAGAGCGAGAAAATGAAAGGCGCACACTCGCCTGCTCCGATGCGCTTGAACTTTCACTCGCCGATAACGGAGGATTGAAGGCAAATCCCAGGTTTCGATCTGTGTGGTTGAGATTGAAACCTCTTCGATGGCGGTTTCCGATCCGATTTGATCGGAATCAGTAATCGCGATGGCGATGATGTCGTTGTCGGAGCTTGAAATTGAAGCCATGAGCTAAATTTGGTCGCTCATGTATGTGAAAGAATTATTCTATTTACTTCATCGCTTTGATTTGGAAAAGTGGAAAATTAATAAGAGGATTTAGCAATCAATACTATCAAGTCTTGACTTTTGTTGAGAAATGGTGAAAAATCAAGACTGTCAATAAGACAATCAGTGTTAGTTTAACAAGTCATCCCAAAAGTTTAAGCTGTTAGGAGGTGAACTAACAATAATTTTATACTTTAATAAACCTAACACGTGAATATTTAAACCTGAGATATATTAAAAATTCAACACATGATGATAATTTTAAATGGGGATAAAGAGTGCAATTACGGGGGTTTGAACTCAGAATCTCCCGCTCTGATACCATGTTATTTTACCAAGTCATCCCAAAAGTTTAAGCTGTTAGGAGGTGAACTAACAATAATTTTATACTTTAATAAACCTAACACGTGAATATTTAAACCTGAGATATATTAAAAATTCAACACATGATGATAATTTTAAATGGGGATAAAGAGTGCAATTACGGGGGTTTGAACTCAGAATCTCCCGCTCTGATACCATGTTATTTTACCAAGTCATCTCAAAAGTTTAAGCTGTTAAGAGGTGGACTAACAATAGTTTTATACTTTAACAATCAGAACTATCAAAAACTAGCTAAATATCACATTTGTCTTTTAACTTTTTTATAATTTAAAGTATTATATATGTTTTTAAATTGTCCCAAAATTATCCTCTTCAGCTTTTCAAAAGAATGAAAATATAATCCTTTAACCGGTCAATATAAATTATGTAAATAATTAATTTGATGAGTCAAAACTTATTTTCCATAATCCACCATAAAATTCTCCATTTTTTTTCATCCGCTTCTGTTAATTTGATATAACTTTCAAATCAAATTCACATATTGTTTAATTACTAACATTTTTCATAATTTTATTGTGATTTCTAAAAGTGCATAATATTTATACGAATTACTTCTTATCTTATAGCTTTTAGTGCCGTAATTTTGACCTTTGAGCATCTGGAAACGAAGTTAACCAACTTGCATTAGTTTTTCTTAGAGAGAGAGAGAGAGAGAGAGAGAGATTACTCAATTTGCAAAGCCGTTTTTGTACACTCGAGCCGTGTCACATCGTGAAGTTGCTTAATTCCTGTATCAAATACTAGAACTTGGGACTAATATCTCTCTACGCCTCTCGATTGACAAAGCATTGCCACAGTATGAACTACCACATTTACATTATAAGTTACAACAATGGAAAAAGAGGTCCCAAAATCTTACGGTTTTCCTTCTTGTTTTTGCCACCTAAAACAACTCAAACTCCAGAAGCTCTCCCGTGGCTTTGCACTCTAAAAACTTGCTCTGCTTTTCTGGAGGGACCAAGTTTGGGATCTCAAAATCGCAAAACTCTGGCACTTCTGGTGGATTGGTGCATCGTATAAGTGCCCAGTTCAGGCCCTCGAAGAACGGGTGCTGCTTGATCTCCGCAGCCCCCTTCTCTGATCCAAACCGATACTCGGGCTCCTTTACCAACAGTCCTCTTATGAGATCCCTTGCCTGGAAACTAACAAGTGGGGTGTCCGGAAATTTAAGGGTTTGCAACACCACATTTGCTAGCGTTTCTTCATTGTTGGCACCTTTGAAAGGCGTCCTTCCGTATAGCAGCTCATAAAGAAATATTCCAAACGTCCACCAATCAACCGCAGCTCCGTGACCCTCCCCTTTGATGATCTCCGGAGCCAAGTACTCATGGGTCCCCACGAAGGAATTGGACCGCGCATCTGTAGGCTCAGCCACAAGCTGTGGCAACGATCTGATCTGCGCTGCCAGGTCATTTTTTATCTTCTTTGTTTTTGCAGGGGCTGGTAAGAATCTCGGGCTAAAACATGGGACTTGGCAGGGCGGTTCAATGCAGAAAGGCTGGGCACAGCTCGAATCTGTACAGGGACCAGACCTCCTAACAGGCTCGATATCCGAACAAGATTTTAGGAGAGTTGGACTGACAGTGCAACGGAGTGAGAGGTCAAAATCTGTGAGCATAATGTGACCATCCTCCCTGACAAGAACGTTCTCTGGCTTCAGATCCCTGTAGACAACGCCAAGCATGTGCAAGTACTCCAAAGCGAGGAGGACTTCAGCAACATAAAACCTGAATTTAAAAAATAAAAAATAAAAAAAATAAAAGAAGATAGGATTAGATTAGAATGAGCTCATATGGGAATACATGACTGAAAAGAACTTTCAATTGCGTGATACAATTTAGTTGGCCTGATTTTGCCTTTAGTTTCTAGTATATAAGGATAGAAGCATATATAAGAGACAACTTAGATTTAGCGGCCCCAAGAACGTGATATTCTTAATCCAGTATATGAATGGGTCAATCATGGCTATATTTCCAGGAAATATATATATATATATATATGCAATATCCCGACAGCATCCAAAGAAACGCTAAGGTCATATGGAGTTGTACCTTGCTGCTGCTTCGGAATAGTTCCTGCTAGGCTGCTTTTGCCGAAGGACGTGCAGATCTCCACCAGGACAGTACTCCATAACCAAACACGATAGATTATCCGACGTAAACTGAGCATACAGCGTAGGGAGAAAGGGATGATCCAACATCCTCAGTATTTCTCGCTCGGTTTGAGCCCTAGGCATCTTCTTTCTTCTAGCCAAAAAATCATTGTCCATGACCTTTATGGCAAATAGGCAATCGGTACCTATTAACTCTGCAAGATAAACAGTACCAATGTCTCCGCAACCAAGCTTCTTTAAAAGATTGAATTGGTCCAAGGCCAGGACTCCATCCTGCATCCAAGCATGCCGGATAGCTTCCCACCTCACATCTTTTGACATGTGAGGCCTGTTGCCACAACTGGACCCACTCAGAGTGCTTTCATCACTCATAGTTGTACTACTACTGTACTCGCCTTGGCTGCTTTGTGAGAACTCTGCCTGTTCTCTTGATTTCACGTTCTTTTTCATTTTCGTGACTGCAGCTCCACTTCTAGCACGGCCATCAGATGTGAAGCCTGGTTTGTTTGCATTGGACTGAACATTAGTTGAGTTTACCTTAGAATTGAAACTGCTCGATTCAGGTGCCAAGGATACTTGACCAAATCTTTTAGTTGCATTCTTCAAGGTACATTGGCATCTCTCACAAACCAGCTGACTTGTAGCAGGATCTAACTTTGTATCTGCTTCGTTAAATCCAGTAGACGTACCAGTAGAACTTAAATCCGGCTTAACTTTCCTCTTATTCTTGTTTCTGCTGACCGATCTCACCAAGCGAGGATTATTTCTGGATAGCTTGCTTACTCTATTTCTGCCGACTAAGCTAGATGAAGAAGATACTGCATGTAACCTGACTTTCTGTCCTGCCTTTGGACCTGATGCCTTATTTCTTAAGTTGGTCGAAACAGGAACATTTTCAACCAATTCTACAGATTTTCCACCATGATACGAAGAAGATGGAGAAGGTTCTGGTGTGTGCTTCTCTTTTTCCACCAGCACAGACTTTATTGTTTGAGTCCCAACTTTGCTTGGTGTGGAAATACCTTCATTTCTTTTTGATGAAGCTCCAGAAATGTTTTGCTGCCTGGCAGTAACATCTTCTACTAATTCTAAAATGTCACCACCATGATCTGAACAGGATGGAGAAGGTTCAGATGAGAGCTTCTCTTTTTGCACCATCTTTGACTGTATTGATTGAATTCCAACTTTCTTTGTTGTAGAAGTACTTTCACTTGGAACTGGGACATTACCCTTGACATTTTGCGTTGTAGCAAATCGAGGAGAAGAATCAACACTTTGGTTTGGTGACTTCATCTTGGACATTTGAAGACGCTCAGGCCTCCTGTCCAAAGCATTTGATAGGCTTTCTTCTGGCACCAGAGATATCTCAACCATATTTCCCCTGCCTTCAACAGAGAGAGGGCCAGACTTACTTGCTTCGAGTACAACTGAATTGTACAATGTCTTGATCCTTCCAGCTTCAGAGGCTGCAGGAGAACTTGTCATCTTTGATAAACGTTTCATCGCAGCCATTTCCGATGCTTTAGTAAGGGATAGCTCCCTTAATGCTTGTTTCAAATTCACCGGCTCAGAACTCCCATTCCCTGGTGAGCGAGGCATCCCCATAGTAATTGGCTTCTTTGAGGCATTCTTATTCAAAGGGCTAGATGCTGCTTGGTGTGAGAGACCCAAACCCTTTGACGTTTTGAGATTGATCGCCTCAAAGAGCTTATTAATATCATCTTCCAGAGAATCCTTGTATCCCAGTTGTAGCACAGGAAGCTTCTCATTTTTGCCTCTCACACTCAATCCTGAATTTAGTTGGTATATTCCTTTGCCACGTTGACTTGAACTCGGCTCGTCTTCTGCTTCAACAATTTCCGAACTACCCGGAAATGAACCCATTATCACAAAGACCCACTTTGTCTAAGTTATTCAATTGCAGAACTGGACGACAGTATGAGCTAATCCTGAAAATTTACAATAAATATTGCTTCTGGAACCATTCACTTAAGAAATTCCAAGATACAAAAACTCCAAACGAGTGCACTCGAAATTGCTCTTTGCTGACATTAGTAACTCAGTGATCTATGAGTGAACACAGATTCAAACCCTGACAAGATCACAAAAGTAGAGACGCATAACCAACTCAAACTTTATGAAAACAACAAAATGAAAAATGGAAAGCCATAATACAATTGCCATTGAAGAAAAACAATGTATCGCATAAGCCACTCGAATATCTTCTATCAGGCATTTATAAAAGAACAAAATGCAGATTTCAATACAACAATACAAGACTGAAAAGGACTATTCCACAAATTTAGCATTTGCCCATTCTTCAGGGCTAAACACAACGTGAACCTTTCAAGTTACAATGCTATATCAAAGTAACGCACACAAACAAACATTCGAAATATTATAGCGTTGAATATTTGAACGACAAAACAGTTCGCCCGAAGACAAAAAATTTGGACTTCCTTAATCTTTACAATTTGTTCTTATTCAAGCTACAAAGTACAAACAGAGATCTGGGTAGACACGGTTTAACAACTAAATAGAATGAATTATGCTCCCAAAATCACGCGAGATTGAAAAAGAAAAACAAAACAAAAAACAAAAACAATTTTGAGGTACATTTTTATAACGAAAAATTCCTGGTATAATGTATGAATGCATCTGAAGCCCCCGCAGAGAACTCAAACTCAGAAAGAAAAAGAAGAAGAAGAAGAAAAAGCTCTTCTTTGACAGATTCGCTTCACACGTGCCAGCCAATTACCCATGTTTTCACTAAAATCCCCAACGAACAAGCGGAAACAAAACAAAAACAAGAATTTCCCAAGGGCAAAACACCAGTAGCTCAATCAAATTCAAACCATGAAAAACAAACAACTTGGCTACAAAGAAGCAAACTTGAGCTCAAACGAACAAAACAAGATCTTAAAGCTGAAAATCTGGAGAAGAAAGAACTTTGAAGATTCACATTTACACGAGAAATGGAAGAGACAGCAGATCGGAGAGACGAACAGTACCTGAAATTGGCCGAGCTGAGGAGATTCATTGAAGGCGAGATTAATCCTCCGGAGGGCGATGAAAAGGAGGAAGGAATCACCGAATCAGAGAAAGGAAAATGCAAAACCCTAGGTGCGGAATGTGGAGGACGAACGATAGCTTGGGGGTTTGAGCTTCTCTCTCTCTCTCTCTCTCTCTCTCTAGACTTGTAAATGGGATGAGAGAAAAAACCGCTTCTGAACTCTTTTCTCTGTAGTGTGCTTTGTTTTTTCTCTCTCCATACTGGGCTCTGATTATTGTGTAGCTAGTGGGACCCACTGTATATGCCGTGGGACCCGAGGCAAAATAAAAATGGATTTAATGAAAATGTGTTCGGCCAATTATTACTGTCTACGAAACTTTTTCAAAATTTTTATTTATTTATCCAAATCTAATTATATCTGCAATTATTAATTGTGAAATTTAAGGAGAAATAAAGCAGAAATCCTTACTGTCAAAAAAAGTGGGAATTGAATTATATATTTACTGAGTTGGTTATTTGGTCAAATGTCGCTTCAATTGTCTCCAACTAACACAACTAACCTCTGTAATCACCAGCAATCATTTTTACTTGGTAGCTTGAGTTATCAGAAATTATTAAAGCATATGCATATGGGAATTTGTTTAATTATTTATTTATTTATTATTATTATTAATTATTAGTAGGAGATTTTCACTGTATGACCTAAAAAATAAACTGACCAACTCTTAAATTTTTGAGAGATTTTTTGATACGTCGTGACATATCATATTTTTTTAACCATTAAATATGCATATTTTTTAATTTTTATGTAATTTTATACATATATGACAAACAAAAAACTTAATTTATCGATTTGTTGGCATACTGAAAAAGATTTTTAAATTTAAATTTGAAATTTTTTTATTTATTTTTCTCGATAATCTATTATTAACAACTTCTTCTAAACTCTTTTTACGGTGACATAATATAATATTATATATTCTAAATATGGATAAAAATGAATAAATAAAAAAATATAAAATTATTTATATATATTCACGATATATTTTGTATGATAACCGAGTTGATGAATTATGGTCAACAAACAGCTTGTATTACAAAATCAATAAGAGCCCGTTTGGTTCATAGATTAGAACCGTGATATTAGAATCATTTTTTATTTACGTGTGTTTTTTGTGAGAGAAAATATTGTAGCGAACCATGAATCATAATTCAAATCAGAGAACGAATTCTCCAACTAAACGGGCTCTAAATCTTTACTTTTTAATTATTAAATTTATATCAAAAACTAAATATGTTGTATTTTTTTTATTTGTGATTTTAATCAGAGTTAAGAGCCACCGTGGCTAATATAAAATCCTACCATAAAAGTACACTTACTGCAATTATTATTTGCTAATGAAGGAAGTTTTTCTTGCAGCTGAAAAAGAGAATAGCTGACTTGAATAAGGCTTGTTAGACTTTTTTTAAAAATTGTTGACATTTGATTTGAGTCTTCGTGAAAGGACTAAGAATTGTAAAAAAAATAAATAAATAAATAAATAAAGGAGAAAACGTGGTGCTTCTTAATCAAAAACAAAAACAATGCCAAATATTATATCCATGTTCATGTCAAATACGTGTAAGTTTACTAAGTTAGACGTGTTGTATCTAAATAGAATGATTGGAAAGGGTAAACCATATTATAAGTATTCATTTGCCAAAGCATTATTTATTATGAATCAAAAACGTCACTCATTCATAATTTTGATTTAGACCGGTGATTCTTTTCCCCTTAAAAAGACAGCCATGTTAAAAAATAAATAAATAAAATAGAAAATTTACTTTTAAATGTGTATAAGTATAAATCTTTACTCTTTATTCTTAATAAATATCTTTTTATTAGTGTAATTATTTAATTAAAAATATTTTAAATTAAGAGTAAAAAGTATAAATTCTTATGCATACACTTTTAAAAGGTATTTATCAAGATTACCTTTAACAGATTGAGCCTTTATTTAGCATACCATGGTTTTTTCTTATTTAGGTATGAATGGTTCTATATGCACTCATTTTTACTCTTCACAGCCCCCTTAAATTAAAAATTTCTAATTACAAAAACACCATTAAATAAAATGACAAAAAAGATAATAGATTTAATTATATAATTGAATTTTATTACAAAATGGAAAGCAATGATAGAGGGTTTTTTCTCTCCACATACCCCCAATATCATATTAATAATTATAAATTATTTCCATTTCAAAAATCTAGAACAAAACCCTAATTTCCACCTTTCAATCATTATTCTAAAAAATTACATGAAGTATGTTAATTTTTTTTATGAAGAGGTATGTTAAATTTTCTTTGCTATTGTTTTTCGCTTGTATTTATATTTGTTTACTAATCAATTTTTTAAGCTTATCATTTTATTTTATTTTTTTAAAATATTTCCAAGTACTCCAAGATTAATAGTAAAATTTTCATGCATAAAATTGTTTATTTTTTCTTTTTTCTTTTTCTTAAAGATTTCTTTTTAGAAAAAAAAGCTTCATGCAATTACAATTAGGGCTGGCAATCATGTAGCGATACAACAACACGACTCGAAACCTGCATGAAGTTAGCGGGTTTAGGTTTACTATCAATAGGTTTGAATCATAATCGGGTTGACAAAATTAACACGATTAATAAAATAGGTTGAGTTAGGGTTGACGTCCTAATATGAAGTGACACAAATTAACACGATTAACTATATGTGTCATCTGCAATCTAATGATATGTGATATAACATGAAAGTTTATATGACATATTAAATACAAATAATATGAATTTTAATATTTGTATGTAAAATTCATTTATTTTTCTTAAAAGAAAAGATAAATTGACCAATAAACATGTTTAACGTGTATTTATTGTGTTAAATAAGTCATTATTATATTAATTATTTATTTAATATATTAATTTAAACGGATTGACACGATTAACACAATTAATAAATGAGTCGTGTTTAGATTGATATTTTTAACACATTTAATAAACATGTTATATTTAGGTTGATACTTTCTAACATGATTGATAAATGGGTTGACATGAATAAAATTCAGAATTACCACCCTTAATTACAATACAAAAGACAGTAAATAAAAGTTGCTTTTGGAACATTTTCTGTCTCTTCCTAGTTTTGTGGTAGTTGATCTACTAGAGTGGAGTGCGTCTGATTAGTGGCTCTGGCTGTTCCTTTTGTTGCCTTGTTTGGCCTTTAATTTATAAAAGTTGCTTATTATCCAAAAAAAAAAAAGAAAGAAAAAACAAAAGACAACAAATAAATAAAATAAAAGAGATAGAAACAAAAGATAGAAACAGTGTGGAATAAAAAGGTTGGTGTGGAGAGAAAAGAGCGGGTGCAAATAAAACTATTCTTAATAATTTTATTAAAATAGTTATGTGTAATTTTAGAATTATAAGAGTGTGTAAAAAGAAAATTTAACCATTTAAAAATTATGTGGAATGTGTAGTTAGAAAAGGGATGTAAAGAATAAAAAGAGGTGTGAATAGAATCACACTTTAAGTATTGATCAAATATATTTACATTTTTTTTACAAGCATAATGATTACACATTTACCTTCATCATAAAGTGATATTTATGATGAGTTTTTGCTCACTCTAAAATTCAAAAAATATATATAATATAATGTTTTTTTTTCTTATAATGTGATAGATGAACATAGATTGTCTTTGCTGTATGAACATATCTTTAAAAACAAATTATTATTGGGACATAATATATTCTCCAAAAATAGGTCAACAGGATATATGGTTGTTTTCCAATATATTGATAGTTTTTTTTTAATATAAATAGTACAACAAATCCTCAAAAAATGCCATTAATAGCTTACAGCAACTGACTTAAAACTCTCACATGTGAGACTAATTGAATATAGCATACTATTAATCATAATGCATAAAACCACCCACTAACCCAATTAAAGAAACAATCCCATCATTAGGCTCCACTAGTGGCGCACCACAACTAATATAGATCACCTACTAACTTTTTGCCATTAACGTTTTCCATCACCCATTGCAAGTCTAAAATAAAAATGTTTTATTATTGTGTTACATATATTAATATTTCTCAATCAATGCAAAATTTTGCCCTCTTGCATAAATTTATTTATTTTTCAAATTTTCGAGCCAACAAAATCTGAGAACCACGCTTTGAGATATTGTTACAAAAGTTGTCTGCATCAATAATTGATGAAATGTGCAGAGGCTAGTCGGTAAGAGCAGGATCTATAGGTGTAAATGGCTAATGAACAAAATACTTTCTGACCAAATCTGGCTTCTTGTGTGTTATGTGTCCCTCAGGGACTCGTAATACATGATGGTCTCTGTCCAAATGAAGATGAAATTTGAAAAGCATTGCAATAATACTCTTGGGTTCCATAAATGTAATCAGGTCCCTATGAGCTCATGTGTAACACTATTTTTACTATTGGTTTTGTGAAGACCATTCATCGCGGCGGCACGTGTCTGTTTATAAATTTATCATAATTTTTATAATTTTAATATTTAAAATTTATAAATATATCGTTTAAATTACAAATCATTTTTTTTTTTCAATTCACAAACCTAAAATTCTATTTTATCATCAATCTAATCACCGTTCACTTTTTTTCTTTTTCTTATCAATGAATATGTCCCTTTACTTATATGACTTAGATGTCTCGTATTTCTAAAAAAAAAAAAAACAATTCAATTGATGGAATTTAATATGATACTTATGAAATTGATGATATGATAAGATTAATATTTAAATATTTCTTCTTGATTTGACCCCATAAGTGAGTTATATAACTCCAATATTTGAAATTCACAAGTTCTAATATTAAGTACATATGTTATATGTTTATCATATTTTGTTCACCAAAAAAAAATACATATGTTATTGTATTCTCAGTAAAGTGCAGGGAATTCTTCTTCTCCCAGCATCATAAAAGTTTCATCATTTGTAACCCTTGTAAATTTCATTTATTTATTATTGCAAAAAGAAAAGACAAGCATGCTAGGACTACAAAAATAAGTAATTCGTAATTCTACTGTCTTTCTCTCTTTGAGATATACGGTATCCAATCACGTTTGGTTAGTAAATACTTTGAAAGTGAGAATAAAAATAAAAAACGGTGAAAATGGAATGAAATAAAAAATAGATGAAAATTGTTTCCCATTTTTAT